TAGGGCCTCGAACCTCTGACCAGTCTTACACGGTCCGCAACAGGAAAAGATATAAAAACACCACCATTCACTTTTGCCTGATGTCACAAAACCAGTAAAAGGTGAAAGAGAAGTCAAGCCTTGGTCTGTCAGGTTCTAAAACCCTTCCTTATTCCTCAGACTGTATTGCCCACCTTTTGTTCCTTATTTCTATGGAGGATTCACATTGCCATAGATCTAAACATCCCATTCTGTGGATGGAGAAGTTGAGGCTGAGCGAGAAGATAATATCACCTAAATGACCATACTACAGATCAGAACCAAGGGTTCTTTCCTTTTCCACATCTTTCCAGGTGCCAATCAATACAAGTATGGCAAGAACCGAGCTGAAGAGGATGCCCGGAGGTACCTGATAGAAAAAGAGAAGCTAGAGACGGAGAAAGAGACAATCCGGACAGAGCTGATGGCACTGCGGCAAGAGAAGAGGGAACTGAAGGAGGCCATTCGGAGCAATCCAGGTACCTGTGTGGGTGTGGGTCTGAGCACTGCCCTCTCCACTCCACCCCACCCCTGCCAGCACAGTAAAGAGCAGTCACTTGGATAGGTCACCCAGTTTCTTACCCAGGAGAGCATGGCTTTTCCTCCCCACCGGCCCCCATCCTCCTCATTATTATTCCACCATCCCTCCCATTAAACAAAGTGCCATCAATTGAATAGCTGCTTTGGGACCAAAGGATGAAAAGGCATCACAGTAATATTGATATTTACTGTAGTAATAGACAGCCTGGTTATAGAAATGTGAAGATGTACAAAACAGAAGTGTACCGTAGAATCAAGGAAAGAAAAGATATCGTTTTCAACCTCACATTCATTCATTCAGATATTTATTGAACACTGTTCCAGGTGCTGGGGAACTATGGGTGGTGACTGATGCCCTTCTCTATTCCCAACCTTTCCCATGATCCTTTTCTGAAATCCAGGGCCATGATAGCTGAGAAGATTGAATAAGGAAGGCGTAGGGCTGTACAGCCATTGTACCTGCTTTGAAGTCTTCCACTTCATTTTTGGCTTGTTTCTCTGACTGTTCTCTATAACCACAGTTTGGCATACTTTTGGCCTAAGATTTCTCCACATGCTGGAGGGAACAGAAGTACTAACCTTATAGAATGTGTCCAAGATCACATAGTCCTATAAGATTCTGATGCAACTTATGGAGCCTTTCCTAGGAAAACAAACACCGCCAGTCATAATGTTGTAAACAATTTCAAGAGTCGTGTACCCCTGGTGCCCATCCACATACTCCCTAAGAATCCTTGAGTCTCAGATTGAGAACTTAAGGTTTAAAGAATAAAACTCTTTTTTAAAGGTTTTTATTGTGATTTGAGTAAAAGTTTAGAGAGCAAATTCATTTTCCATTCAGCAGTTTATACACACGTTGTTCCAGGCTACCAATGGCAATCCCCACAGTGTGACAGCATTCATCCTACCTTCTCCTCATGTTTCCCCATTCTCATCCCTACTTCTTTCCTATCGCTGCTTGCCTTCTGAACTTTGTCCTTGGGAAATGAGTGACCTTCTGCTCTCAAGTGGTTGTCTGTTCCAAGGAGTGCGCATGCAGCTCCCAATGCTACTGTCTACCCTAGAGACCTATAGTTTAGCTGAAACTGAGCCAGGCTTAAAGGGTGGCTTAAAAAGCCAGTCTCAAGGGCTCCACCAGTCTCTGTCTAACCAGCTTGCCTAGTCTTTTTTCTTTTCTTTTCTTATGATTTTTAGTTTTGTTCCATGTTTTTCTCGCATTTTGGGACTTTCAAATATGATCCCTCTCAGAGAGGCAGTAGTAGGAGTCAGTTACCATCTAGTTCTTCTGGTCTAAGGGTCACAGCCACCATCGTCTATCAGTTAGTTTGTCATTACGTGTTGCTGTGATGCTGGCAGAGTTACCACCAATAGTGGACAGGTTTCAACTGAGCTTACAGACTAAAACAAACTCAGAAGAAGAGAAATACTTGCATACGTTTAGTTATTGGAAACCTTTGAATTACAGTGAAACACTGCAGATAGCACCAGAAGATTGAATATTGAAACATGATGAAGAGCACTCTAGTATTGTCAGATATGGTGCTGGAAGACAAGCCCCTCAGGTTGGAAGGCACTTAAATTATGACTGGGGAAGAGCTGCCTCCTCAAAGTGGAGTAGACCATGATGACAAGAAAGGAGTAAAGCTTTCAGTACCTTCATTTGCTGATGGGACATAACTCAAAATGAGAAGAAACAGCTGTAAATATCCTTTAATAACTGGAAAATGGAATGTGTGAAGTATGAATCTAGGAAAATTGAGAGTTTTCAAAAATGAAATGGAACTCATAAACATTGATATCCTAGGCATTAGTGAGCTGGACAACGCATTGCATTGGGCAAATCTGCTGCACAGGAACTTTTTAAAGTATTGAAGAGCAGAGATGTCAGCTTGAGGACTAAGGTGCGCCTGACCCAAGTCATAGTATTTTCAATAACCTCATATGGATGCGAAAGCTGGACAGTGAATAAGGAAGATCGTAGACGAATTGATGCCTTTGAGTTGTGGTGTTGGAGGAGAATACTGAAAGTGCCATGGACTGCTAAAAGAACCAATAGATCTATTTTGGACGAAGTACATCCAGAGTGCTCCTTGGAGGCCAAGATGGCTAAGCTTCGTCTCTCACACTTTGGACATATTGTCGGAGAGAACAGTCACTGGAGAAGGATGTCATGCTGGGTAAGGTGAAGGGTCAGAGAAAAAGAGGAAGACCCCCAAAGAGATGGATTGCCCAAGTGTGGCAACAGTAGTGAGGCTGGTCCAGGATCAGGCAGTGTTTCGTTCTGCTGTGCATAGGGTCGCTATGAGTCAGTACTGACTCGATGGCACCTAACAACAACAATAGAGTGGGAGGAACTGTAGAACAAATCTCAAAAATAGAAAAAAACAAGGCTTACTGGCCAGATAGAGACTGGTGGAACCCTGAAACTATGACCCATAATCACCCCTCAGGTCTAGAACTGAACTTACCCCAATGGCTCAATTTTTAGCCAAGCAAGAGCTATATAAATAGGTAGAAACAACACTAGTGAGGTACACACATAGAATGGTCAACTATTGGAGATTTTTTTAAAGCACCATTTAGCCGAGGACAAAGTTCAGAAGGGTTGGAAGAGAAAGAGGAATGGAAAGAAGAAGCACAGGGGTAACTGGGATATACAATATTACATTGAGAGGACTGCAAACACTGACATGAAACCAAGTGTAGGATTTGTTGAATGTAAAACGGATCTGTTCTGTACACCTTCACTCAATTCACAAGGAAAAGTTAAACAGATAGCGCCAACTATAAAAAACAAGCATGAGGTAAAACATTTTCTTTGTGGTCTGTTGTTGTTGCTGTTAGGTGCCATCAAGTTGCCTCTGATTCATAGCTACCCTATGCCCAGCAGAACAAAACACTAACCAGCCCTGTGCCATCCACACAGTTGTTTTTGCACTTGAGCCCACTGCTGCTGCCACTGTGTCAAGCCATCTCATTGTCAAGCATATTTTCCTTCTCGAAGAACTGGTCCCTCCTGATAATATGTCCAAAGTATGAGAGACGAAGTCTTGTCATCCTGACATCTAAGGAACATTCTGGCTGTACTTCTACCAACACAGATTTGTTTGTTCTTCTGGAAGTCCATGGTATTTTCAGTATTCTTCAACACCATAACTAAATACATCAATTCTTATTTAGTCTGCCTTATTCATTATCAACTTTCACATATGTGAGGCTGTTGAAAATACTATGGCTTAGGTCAGAAGCACCAAAGTCCTCAAACTGATATCTTTGCTCTTAAACAATTTAAAGAGGTATTGTGCAACAGATTTGCCTAATACAATGTGTCGTTTGATCTCTTGACTGCTGCTTCATAACTGTTGATAGTATATACAAACAAAATGAAGTCTTTGACAACTTCAGTCTTCTCCATTTATGATGATGTTATTTATTGGTCCGGCCTCTCCTTCATCCTAGTCTGTCTTAATCTGGAAGCTCCATTGAAACCTGTTTACCATGGGTGATGCTGCTGGTGAATAAATGCATGAATGAATGTGTGAAAGTAAAGAATCCACCATCGTTGCAGAACCTTTCAGTATAGCCTCCTTCAGAAGAAAGAACGAAACTTACTTATTTTCTAAACCTGGCAAAACCCAACATAGCACTTAGCATAAAGAAGTTACTAATACACATTTCTTGTATTAAACTGAATAAGCAGCAAAGTTGTAGTAGGAACCTCTAGTCTATGAAAAGTTCCTTCTTATCATTTGGTAACAGAAACCAAAGTCAAGATGGCTTAGAAATTAAATGAAGGAAAATGTCAGCATGCAATCCAGGGAATTTAATGATGCTACCATGGAAGATTGAAGTTGTCAAGGACTTCATTCTTCTTGGATCAACTATCAACACTCATGGAAACAGCATCAAGAGATCAAACGACTTATTGCATTAGGCACATCTGCTGCACAAGACCTTTTTAAAGTGTTGAAGAGCAAAGATGTCAGCTTGAGGACTAAGGTACACCTGACTCAAGCCATGGTGTTGTCAATAACCTCATATGCATGCAAAAGCTGGACAGTGAATAAGGAAGACTGGAGAAGAATTGATGTTTTTGAGCTATGGTGTTGGAGGAGAATATTGAAAATGCCATGTGCTGCCAAAAGAACTAATAGATCCGTTTTGGAAGAAATGCAGCCAGAGTGCTCCTTAGAGGCCAAGATGGCTAAACTTCATCTCTTATCTTTGGACATATTGTCAGGAGGAACTAGTTGCTGGAGAAAGATATCATGTTTGGTAAGGTGGAGGGTCAGAGAAAAAGAGGAAGACCCCCAACGAGATGGATTGGCCAAGTGGTAGCATCAATGGACTCAAGTGTGGCAACAGTAGTGAGGTTGACCCAGGATCGGGCAGTGTTTCGTTCTGCTGTGCATAAGGTTGCAGTGGGTCGGTACTGACTCAATGTCACCTAACAACAACCATGGAAGTTTGTCAGTTTGTTGTACTGTGGTGGCTAGCATGTTACTGTGGTGCTAGTAGCTATGCCACCAGTATTCTAAATACCAGCAGGTCACCCAGAGTGGACAGGTTTCAGCTGAGCTTCCAGACTAAAACAGACTAGGAAGAAGAGGCGGACTACTTCTGAAGGTTTAGCCACTGAAAACCTTATAAACAGCAATGGAACACTGTCAGATAGTATTAAAATGTAAACATTCAAAATAGCACCAGAGTGTTGTCAGATATCATGCCAGAAGGTGAGCTCCTCAGGATGGAAAGCAGTCAAAATACAACTGGGAAAGAGATGCCTCCTCAAAATAGAGTTGACCATTATGACGTGAATGAAGTAAATCTTTTGGAACCTTCATTTGATGATGCGGCAGAACTCAAACTGTAAACTTCCATTAATAATCAGAACATGGAATGTTCAGAATATGAATCTAGGAAAATTGAAAATTGTCAAAAGTGAAATGGAATGCATAAAGATCCATATTCTAGGTATTAATGAGCTGACGTGGACTGTAGTGGTTATTTTGAATCAGACAATTATCTGGTTTACTATGCCAAGAATAACAAATTCAAGAGGAATCATGTCACATTCATCAGCAAAAAGAATATTTCAATATCTATCTTGGAGTGCAATGCTGTCTGTGATAGGATAATATCCTTACATCTACAAAGAAGACCAGTTTATACCACTAATATTAAAATTTACACTCCAACTACTAAACCCAGTGATGATGAAACTGAAGCATACTACCAACTTCTCCAGTCTGAAACGGATCAAACATGCAATCAAGATGTATTGATAATTACTGGTGGCAGTTGGAAACAAAGAAGGATCAGTGGTTGGAAAATGTGGCCTTGGTGATAGAAACGATTCTGGAGATAGCATGACCAATGACTTATTTTAATTTTTTTTTTAGCTTCAGCCTGAACTTATGTATGAGCAACTGATGGTCTGTTCCACAGTCTGCCCCTGGCCTTGTTTTGACTGATGATATGAAACTTTTCCACCGTCTCTCCCCACAGATGTTGTCAGTTCAAACCACTCTTGCAGTCTGATCCTTTTTTATCCTGGTGCCACACCAGGACCCCCACAGATGTTGTCAGTTTAATTTCTGTGGATTCCATCTGGTGAGGTCCATGTGTATAGCTATCTTTTATGCTGTTTTAAAAAGGTATTTGCAATAGATAAGTCAGCTTTTATCCCTAAACCAACTTCTGTGGCTAGGAGATGAAGTATGTTTATCAATTATGTACCAAAAGCCATTATCAATTATGTGCCAATCCCTTGAACTAGGAGTGGGATCAGCCCCACCCAATCTAGAGAGAATGAGAGGGGAAAGGTGGCTTCCCACTAGAAAAGCAGAATCCTGGTGTGGCACTGTGGGATAAGTTGGTGGTTCAAACTCACCAGCTGCTCCTTGGGAACCTATACAGGGTCAATATGAGTCTGAACCAACTTGATGGCACTTAACAACAACATTTCCAGAAGATAGGGAAATGGGCACTGAGCAGGTAACATGAGGCCACCCAGAATAGAGCTGGAAGCTCAGACTCCTTGACATTTCTGGCCCAGCTCAGCTGCTTCTCATCAGTGTCTTTACAAACAGGAGCAAAGTTAAAGAGTCTGGAGGAGGCTGTGGCCACCTTGGAAGCTCAGTGTCGGGCGAAGGAGGAGCGCAGGATCGACCTGGAGCTGCGGCTAGTAGCTGTGAAAGAGCGCTTGCAGCAGTCCCTGGCTGGGGGCCCAGCCCTGGGGCTGTCTGTGACCAGCAAGAACAAGAGTGGGGTGAGTCCATTTTCTTCTACACCTGTACCTTAATCCCTTCACATGCAGCATGCTCCATTAGAGCATTCTTTGTGGGGAGGAGGGATGCTCATTTACAAATGAGAAAACTTGAGACCTAAATAGGTACCAGGACATGCCACAGCAGGCATAACTAGGAAGGGGACTCGCAGGGAGCTAGCTAGCTCTCTGTTCTCTGGTTTGTGTTTTCTCCACGGCAGTACTGACTTTTCTTTCTCCTGAAGGTGCTCTCAGAAGTGGCCTTAACATTAATAATAATAATAGCTACCACAAGTTGAATCAGAATAACCAGCTTGAATTGATCGATTACTATATGCCAGTACAGTATTTTAACCTGCATTAACTCATGCTCTTTTAACCTGTTTTAACTACCATATCTTCACAGCAATCCTTTGAAGTAGTACACTTTGTGTATCAACCCTATTTGACAGATGAGGAAACAGATTCAGACTTGTTAAATGACTTGCTAAGTGGGAAACAGGATTTCAGACCCAGGCAGTCTGACTCAGAGCCCTGCTTGGAACCGCCATGGAACATAACCTCTCCTGGGATCCCCAGCACCCCAGGTTCTGCTCTTGGCTTTGCATCCACTATCTTTATCCCTTCCAGCAGCTGTGCAAAGTAGATGCTCTCAGCTTGAATGGGACTCCTCATACAGGACTTCCTGACCCAGAACTATTGACATTTATTATGCAGAGCTGTCAGGTGCATTAAGGAATCCTGGTGGCACCATTATTAAGTGCTTGAATAATAACCAAAAGGTCGGCAGTTTGACCCCACCAGCCGCCCCACAGAAGGCAGATGTGTCAGTTGACCTCCATAAAGATGTATGTATAGGCTCGGAAGCCCTATGGGACAATTCTGCTCTGTAGGATCCCTATGAGTCAGAATCCATTGACTCAAGGGCAATGAGTTTCGGGTCATGTGTGTCATACGATGCTTCATAGCATCCCTGACCTCTACCCACTAGATGCCAGATGAGGAACGTAAGGACCCATGATAAAACCACTCCCCAGGGTCACAGAGGACTGGTGGAGGACCTAGAACCAGGTTCAAGCATCCCAGCTCAGTTCCTGCCCACCAGCATGCGCTGATATTCTCATTCCAGAGTGCTTTTCTCACCACTTTTCATCTTTTTTGACTCCCTTTGGAGCTAGAGTCTTCTCTAAATTATCCACAGTCTTTTTATTAAAATGACAGCCTTCAGGAAGTACACCCAGGAGAGGTGTATCTATGGCAATCAGTTTTAAATTGCTGAGTAATCTCTCCCAGCTGGCTATGAAACTTGAATGGTGACTAGAAACTGCTCACTGGTGCCCCCCACTGCCCAGAGCATATGTCATCCACTAGATAAGCCTGTGACTGGATCCCGTAAGGTACTAAGCACTTGTCTGGAAATGTTAAGAAATTAAGGCAGTATAGAAAAATGATCTGAAATTCAACACAGATAGGGATGTGGAGTTTGAATCCTGGCTTTCCCACTACAGTGTCATCGTGAGCAGGTGACTTGACATCTCCACACAGGTTTTTCACCTGCAAAATAGAATGACTAGTAATAGCAGCAATGCATGGATTTGTTCAAAAGCTTAAATGAGTTCATCAGTGCCGTGGCTGTTGCACAGTGATCTGCATGACCTTAGCTGCCTTAATCTTTATCACAAGGCTCTCCAGTGTCTTCCTCCCCTCATCCTGCTCGATGTCGCAAGTGTATATAGTACATTCTATTCTTAAGCGCCCTCACTCTTTTGAGGGCAGACTGGCTGTAGGTAGCCAGCGATACACCTCACCTGTGTAAGCTATTTCTTGCCACCTACAGGAAGTTGCAAACAAACCCCAGAACAGCACCCCAGAGTCCTCACTCCCTGTTAACTGTGTATCTGAGCTAAGGAAGAGGAGCCCATCCATCGTAACAGCCAATCAAGGAAGGGTGCTACAGAAAGCCAAGGTAAGCCATTAGCTTGGCTGATCAAAACCCAGAGGTGTGGATGCCTCCTTTCTATGGAACCTCACCAGGAAACACATACAGCAGCTACTGAGAAAGGCAGAGAATTACAGCACACCCGTGCAGTAAAACTCATGGACTTGATTCAGAGGGCAATGCCCTCAGACCTCAGTCAAAATCGATTTGCTCTTTTTTAGCACATAGTTATAAAAAGTTCAGTTAGCTGGTTTCTGAGCTTATGGTGTGTTTTGAGACAAGAAAGGTGGCGTTTCATAGGTAAAGAAACAGATGCATGAGGGTGAAGGACTTGCCCAAAGTAATGCAGAGCATCCTTGAGAAAGCTGGGATGTAAGCTCACCTCTTCTAAGTTCAGGGCTCTTTCTGTGAAACTGGTCCACAATCCCATCTCTGTAACTCTTGAGACCGGCCAGTGGTGTTTCAGAACCTTTATTTTGTTTGTTTGTTTTAAGTTTTTACTGTGAACTGAGTGATCATTTACATGGGAGAACATAGGCTTTACACCATTGTTTCGTTGCAATGATTACAATCTCCTCTGTGCATCATCATTCAACAGTATTTGCTTCCATTCCCTGTTTTGTTTTGTTTGGTGAGGAGGATGTACACAGAAACACTCAGGAATATATAATCATTTAAACAACCAAAGGGTACAGTCTGCAAACCTGCCTCCTGGCCACCAACACCCAGTTCCTCTCTTTCCATGAGTCTAGAGTCCTCAGCTGCTCCCTCTCTCCAGTCCTCATCTCTGCCTCCATCTCTGGTGCCTCTTCTTCTCTGGATAGCGTCCCACATGCCACTTGTGCTCTTCTCCCTTGATGGTCCTAGGGTCCTCTGTTTCTAGACTGTAAGATTAACTACTCCCTCATTTTTGCTACAAAACTTTTACTTTTACAGTTGTGAAGGTCACAATTAGTCATGATAACAATTTTGCACTATTGAATCATAAGAATTTTATCCCCATCTCTTTTCACCAGACCCAACTAGACAAGATGGAAACTATTCAGTGGGGACTCTACATTCCCTTGCACACTCTGAAACTAAACTCCCTCTTGAAAACTTGTAAGCCAGTCACTTCATGCCTTTATCACCCCTCATTTTAGGTAGCCAGTGCCTAAATTGGCTACAGAAAAATTGATGCTTTTGAGTTATGGTGTTGGAGGAGAATATTGAAAGTGCCACCGGCTGCCAAAAGAACCAATAGCTCTGTGTTGGAAGAAACCAGAGTGTTCCTTGGAGGCCAGGATGGCCAAACTTCGTCTCTCATACTTTGGACATATTGTCAGGAGGGGCCAGTCGCTGGAGAAGGATATCATGTTTGGTAGGGTGGAGGGTCAGAGAAAAAGAGGAAGACCCCCAGTGAGATGGATTGGCAAATTGGCAACATCAGCGGACTCAAGCATGGCAACAGTAGTGAGGTTGGCCCAGGATTGGGCAGTGTTTTGTTCTTCTGTGCATAAGGTTGCTATGGGTCAGTGTCAACTCGATGGCACCTAACAACAACAACAAAAATGCCTAAGTTGCCCATCCCTATCTATCCTGTATACAGAGGAGATAGGATTGGTGCTTGATGTGAGGACTCCTTCCCTCTCAGTTGGTATTTTAAGCTACTACAAGTATAGGTCAAGTTCATCAAATTGTAGCAATTTACACTCATTTCCTTTATCAAAACATTTTTTTTTTCTTTTATCTTCCTCTAGTCAAGTTCTGATTATCAAACCACCAAGGTCAGGTCAAATGGGTACTATCTGCAAGTTTGGGCATTCTTGTATGTCTCCCCTCACTTCATATCAGCTGGCTTCTTCACTCTCAGCTCTAGTTCTCCGTGGCTATGTCCTTGTCCATGGGCTCAGGAGTCCCCAGGTCTTACCACACTTTGGACCAACCAGACCTCCTCTTTTCTCTCTCATCTTCAGGTTAACAGGAGTCTATGGAACGTGGTTGAACTCAGCCCATTTCTTCATTGCTGCCTTTCCCCCTCTTCCACTCACCAATAGACCAAAATGGTCACCAGCAAGCTTACATGCCTGCTCATGTGTTCCCTTTGAGTTTCTATCTTGGAGGGGGGTTTGTCCTGAAGGAACTTGATTGCTTGCCTTGAGGGGTCCTCAGAACTTTTTAGATTTTAAAAAGATAATATAGTACAAGTACTAAACAATGAAGACACACCCCACCCAACAAATTCTCAGATGGCACATGGTAAGCAAACGCATTAACATTTCTACAGCAAGACATGACACCACACCAATGAAATAAATAAATATACAAACAGCTTCCCAGCAGTTCAGATCAGGTTTTACTGTCACATGAGTTTGTCCCAATATATTTGAGAAAACTCACGTTTCTGAGCCATTTGGATTATAGAATTGAAGATAGAGAGTCTGAACCTGAGAAATAAATGTCCACACATTGGGAATGTTCAATACTGTGTCTTTGCTGAAGCTGATACTGAAACCAGTACAGAATGTCTGAAAAGTTGGTAAGAGATGGGACTGGAAAGATAGTTTGATATAGAAGGGCCTGAACTCCAGGCTAAGAAATGTGGAAATTGATGAGTTTTCAAAAGGAAGAATCTCTTTTTTAAAGATGAATCCTAAAGTGAACCTTTATTAAAAATAAAAGGGGATACCTCCTGTTTGAAGTGGTGGGAAATTCCTTGAGGGTCAAACCAACTCTGTGATCCACCAGCACATAAACCCACAGTGCCACACCAGGATTTCAAAAGCAACCATAAGCAATATACAAATGAATTGTGAGCATGGCTATGTCCCAGTAAAACCTTATTTACAAACACTGACATTTGAATTACAATTTTCACATGTCATGAAATACTCTTTTTTTCTCTAACCATTTAAAAATGTAAAAAAGAATCTTAGTTAATGGTTTATACAAATACAGATAGTGGGCCACACTTGGCCCACAGGCCATAGCTTTCCAATCTTGATCTAGTAGACCATTGGAGAAGCGTTAGACTTGTTCAACATAACAGACAGTCATTGGAAAGGTTTGAGGAAAGAGTTGTAGGATACAGATTGTATTTTTAAGAAATAACTCTGGACACTTTGTTAAGAATGGATGAGCGAACAAGAAAGACCAGTTAGAAGAGTACTATAATAATCTAGATAAGAGATGAAAAGAGGGTAGTTTTGGAGGCAAAGCCAGGTTTGCTGATGACGTTATGGATAATGAGTAAAAGAAAGGAATCACGGCTGACTCCTAGGTCATTGCCCTGAGCAACTGTGGTCCAGATGGAGAAGCCAGGAGCTAGATGAGGAGTGGAGGATCCACCTATGAAGAATTTTCCAATCATTATGGTCTAACTTGGTTCACAGTGTCAACTCCAGGGTTGTCTGGTGACTTCATGCACTGCTTATAAGTAAAAAGCCATTTACCATGGGCACAACTTCAGTATCCTTCTCAAACTCCTTGGCAGCTTTAGAAGGAATGGAGCCCAGTGGGCCTGCCTACCTCAACCTTCCTTACCAAACTGCTATGGCTTCTTTCCCATCACCTTCTTACCCCACCCCAAGATCCTCTGGAATAGAACTTGAGTCAGATACAGTCCCCACTCCCCTCACTTCCTGGGCCTCAGTTTCCTTGTCTAAGAAAAACAAACTTTGTGATCTCTAAGTCCCTCTAGAGATGAGATCCTGACAAGTGACTTACCGAAGGCCACAAGAAAGCAAGGAGACTAACACCTAAGACTCTCTAATCTGGTCAGTAGAGATCTTTACACAAGAAGAGCTTCAAAAAGTTTGTGGAAAATGGAATGAAAAGATAGTGGAATTTTTCCATGAACTTTTTTAAGTCCTCTCATAACATGAAGGAGCCCTGGTAATGTCGTGGGTTTATTGGGCTGCTAACCACAAGGTTGGTAGTTCAAACCTACTAGTAGCTCCAAGGGAGAAATATGAGGTTATCTTGTCTCATAAATATTTACAGTCTCAGAAACCCTATGGAGAAGTTCTACTCTATTCTATAGGGTCACACTGAGTCAGAATCAACTTGACAGAAGTGGGCTTATATAATGGGGTGCAGTGAAATATTTTTATCCTGAAATATTTGTATTCTGGTCACACTAGAATAGTCAACAAAACTGATCTTTCTTGTCTTTCTATACTTCAGGAATGGGAAATGAAGAAGACCTAGAAAGAATATGAAGATTTCATATCAAAGGAGACAGAAACTTGTCCATCTGTCAGAAAAGCTTTTTTTTTATTATTTTATTTTTACCAGGAGAAGACTGGAAGCAGCCAGACCCCACTCTCCTGGGCAACCAAAACACTACCAGCTTTCTTGTCTGCATGACTTTAGGGGCAATGGGGAGGGAAGAAGAAGAGAAGAGGGAAATGGCTGGCACCCTTATGACTATGGAGGGTAGAAATGGAGTTGGGGGAGACAAAGCTCTGCGGTTGTAAAGTCTTGTTCGATTTCTTTACCTTCCCTTTTTGAAGAAGAAATGAAAGCACATGTGAATAAGCCATTCCCTGCTATTCTCAGCATCCCATTCCCATTCCGTACGGCGAAGGAAGGCAGTGCTGAGACATCAGTAGTACAGTGTAAAAGAAATGAGACTGATACTTTTGCCAAGTGGATTCAGGTTGAGCATTGCTGACCTCTAGGCAAGGCAAATACACTTTAAAAATCAACAGAATGGCCCCGGCTGGCTTAAAGATGAACATAAGCTAGAGAGAACATTCAGCTTCTCAGTCATTCCTCACCGGCTTTAGAGCTAAACAGAGTGCAGCTACTGGAATCTTCCTTATTCGAGTGCTTTTAAATCAGGGATCTGAGTATGCAGCGGACAAGGAGAGGTTGAGCAGCTGACTTATTTTAAGCTTGCGGTGACACTCAGTAAAAGGAGCTTGGCTCTGTGATGTCTACAAGTGTTAGAGGGCAGGATCATCAGCTGTCAATCAAGCTCTTTGACCTATTTCTATATGACACTGACTATCCTGGGACTACTGGTAGAAATCCATGTGACGCTGCTTATAGTGTTATCCTAAAGGAATCCTCATCTTGCATTTGGAGGCTCACCAACCTGCTATAAAGTAAAACTATCAGGAAACCAAGAGTGTGGTGGCTCATTTCTGCCACGTGGGTGCTAAGCCCCTTATAAACACTTGAGAACTTTTATAGGGGGTACAAGGACCTCAAGTCCTGGGCAATTTTGCTTCATGTGCCACTCACTGTCTCAACACTGTTTGCACTTTATGGGTCTTGAACACATTTTCCTCCAATAAAGGTATGACCATTTAACTCAGCATTCAGATGTTAGATCAATGGGAGAGACAGGAAATTCAAGAATAACACCTGGACATACTGCTTAAAGTTTTGCAAACTTCATCCCACCTAAGGTTTTATAGGAGTCTCTGGGTGGTGCCGATGCTCAGATGCCAACCAAAAGGTTGGAGGTTCCAAACTACCCAGAGGTGTCTCAAAAGAAAGGCCTGTTGATCTACTTCTGAAAAATTATTAGAGAGTACGTGTCTACTCTGACACACAAGTCGAAATCAACTTAATAGTAACTGGTGATGATGGTGGTAGTGGTAAAGTAACTACAGACTGTTAAGTGTCGTCGGTTCTGACTCATCGTGACCCTGTAGAAGCTGCATTACCAAGGAGCAGCTGGTAAGTTTGAACCACCGATCTTGTGGTTCAAACTGACCTTGGTTTCTCCCACAGTGCAACAGCAAGACTCCAGCTGGAGACTCAAGCAAGGAAAATCATCTGACCAAAGTTACTCAGTTGAGCAGTAGCTGAGCATAGCACTTGCAGGTTATGAGCCTGGATCCAGACCACTGGGTTTCAGCCCTGAAGCCAATTTACCAGCTGGGTGATCTTGTGAAGGTCACTAATCTGATTCTTGCTTTCCTTATCTGTGCAAACAGGGTTAACAGTTGTAGTTTCCCCTCAAGACTATTGGGGGCACTCAGTGAACTAATACAGGGGAAGCATCTTAAAGTATCCACCACTCATCTGTCAGTTTGTTGTACTGTGTTGGCTTGTGTGTTGCTGTGATTCTGCAAGCTATACCACAGGTATTTTAAATACCAGCAGCGTCACTATGGTGAACAGGTTTTAGCTGAGCTTCTACACGTAGACAGACTAGGAAGATGGAGAGATGAACTACTTCTGAATATTTAGTCACTGAAAACCTTATGAATAGCAGTGGAACACTGTCAGTACCAAAATACTGAATATTGAAACATGATGAACACCAGAATATTGTCAGATATCATGCCGGAAGATGACCCCCTCAGGTTGGAAGGCTCTCAAAATATAACTAGGGAAGAGCTGCTTCTTCAAAGTAGTGATGGCATGAATGGAGTAAAGCCTTCAGGACTTTCATTTGCTGATGGGTACATTCATTTGCTGATGCTCTGGTAGCGTAGTGGTTACGAATCGGGCTGCGAACCTTAAGGTCAGCAGTTCGAAACTACCAGCTGCTCCATGGGAAAAAGATGAGGCTTTCTACTCCCGTAAGGATTTACACCCTCGGAAACCCTGTACAGGGTCTCTATGGGTCGGAACTGACTCGACGGCACTTAACAATAACAACTCAAAAAGAAACAGCTGTAAACATCCATTAATAATTGGAACATGGAATGTACGAAGTATGAATCTAGGAAAACTGGAAATTGTCAATATGAAATGGAAGGCATAAACAATACTATAGGCAATAGTAAGCTAAATTGGACTGGTATTGGCCATTTTGAATATGACAATCACATAGTTTACAATGTCAGGAATGACAAATTGAAAGAGAATGGGGTTGGATATCATCAAAAAGAAAACTTATCAAGATCTGTCCTAAAGTACAACACTGTCTGTGATAGGATAATATGCATATTCCTACAAGGAAGACCACTTAATACCACTATTATTCAAATTTACACACCAACCACTAAAGACAGTAATGATGAAATTGAATAATTTTTACCAACTTCCACAGTCTGAAACTGATCAAACACACAAACAAAGATGCATTGATAATTATGCCAGTTCTTCTATCTAGAAAGTTTCCAATGTACACCCACCACATTCACTGTCAAACCTGCTCCCCGACCTACTTCCCAAATGACACCACCACCCACCTTGACTCAAAGCCAGAAAACACTACATAATTCTGGGTTCCTTTCATCTTCACCTGCTGTACCTGCCATTTCCTGAGCCCTTGAGCTAGCAGCCTCCCCAGCCAACTCACAGCCCTGCTCTCTTGAGATGGCCTGGCTCCCTGGTCCCTACTATTTCTCCCTCCTATTATAACACACAAACACGCCATCCTTCCCCTTTTCAAAATCCTTCCAAGGGCAGCCGGAAGTTTCTGAATAGGGCCAGTCTCCTCAGCTTAGCATACAAGACTCAAGAATAGAAAAGATAGCTCTGACTTCTTCCACACCTTCACAGGAAGCATTTTCTCCTGTCACACTGAACCAAAGTTCCCTGAATGTTTCCTAAAGTTGTCCACATGCACCTGACCACAACAAGGTGCCCCTGTATAATGCACCCTAATCCCTATTTACTTCTTTGTCCTTCCAGTTTCAGGTCAGGCTTTACCCCAAGGCATACCTGGTACCTGGCAGGATAGGTGCTCTTTTGCATTCTCAGGGTAACACACACTTAGTTCTGTCACCCCACTCTTCTAGTATCTGGGCAGTAGTCTGGGATGTATCTGTCTCCTCTATAGAGTATAAATGCTTAAGTCTTACTTTTTTCAAACCTTCAACACCTAGCCCATGACCTAATACCTCTTTAAAAAAAAAAAAAAAGTCGTATTGGTAATTACTGGAGATTGGAATGAAAAGATTGGAAACAAAGGCAATGGTTGGAAAACATGGCCTTGGTGATACTCAGCAATGCTGAATATCACATGATAGAATTTTGTAAGACCAATGACTTGTTTATTGCAAATACCTTTTAAACAACATAAAAGATAACTATACACATGGACCTCACCAGATGGAGTAACACAGAAATCAAACTGACAAATCTGTGGAAAGAGACGATGGAAAAGCTCCATATTATCAGCCAAAACAAGGCCAGGGACAGATTGTGGAACACACCGTGGATTCCTCATATGCAGGTTCAGGCTGAAACTGAAGAAAACTAAAACAAATACACAAGAGCCAAAATTTAACCTTGAACATATCCCATCTGAATTTAGAGATCATCTGAAGAACAGATTTGATGAATTAGACACTAAAGATTAAAGATGTCAAGAACATCATACAGGAATAAAGCAAATGGTAATTAAGACAAGAAAGAAGGAAAAGGCCAAAATGGATGTCGGAAGAGACTCTAAAACATGCTCTCTAGTACAGAGATGCTAAAGCAAATGGAAGAAATGAGAGACAAGAGCTGAAGAGAAAATTTCAAAGAGTAGCTTGAGAAGGCAAAGTCAAATATTACAACAAAATGTGCAAAGATCTGGAGTTAGAAAACCAAAAGCAAAGCACATACTCAGCATTTCTCACGCTGAGTGAACTAAAGAAAAAATTAAAGCCTCAACTTGTAATATTGAAGGATTCTATGGGCAAAATATTGACTGATGCAGAAAGCATCAAAAGAATTTCAACCATTTCAAGAGGTAGCATATGATCAAGAACCAGTGATACTGAAGGAAGAAGTCCAAGGTGCATTAAAGGCATTGGCAAAGAAGAAGGCACAGGAAGTAGATGAAATACAAATTGAAATCTTTCAACAAAGTGATGCAACACTGGAGGCACTCACTTATCTATGCCAAGAAATCTGGAGGACAATTACCTGGCCAGCTGACTGAAAGAGATTTGTATTTGTGCCCATTCCAAAGAGAGGTGACCTACTAGAATGCAGATATCATCATACAATATCATTAATATAGCATGTATGTAAAATTATGCCAAAGATAATAAAAACAACTGCAAACATACAGTAAAAGAGAACTTCCAGAGGTTCAAGCAGGATTAAGAAGAGGAGGTGGAACTAGTGCTATCATTGCTGATATCAGATGGATCTTGACTGAGAGCAGAAAATACCAGAAAGTATCTGTGCTTTATTGACTACACAAAGTCTTTTGATAGTGTGAATCATGACAAGCTATGGACATTACAGAGTAGTGAGTATTTCAGAACACTTAATTTTCCTCATGAGGAACCTGTACATAGACCATGAGGCGGTGGTTCAAACAGAATAAAGGAAGAGTGAATGGTTCAAAATTAGGAAAGGTGTGCACCAGGGTTGTATTCTTTAACAATACTTATTCAACCTGTGTGCTGAGAAAATAATCTGAGAAGCTGGGTTATATGAAGAAAAACGTGACATCAGGATTAGATGAAGACTCATTAACAACCTGCGATGTACAGATGATATAACCTTGCTTGCTGAAGATCAAACACCACAGCCTTCGGTATGGGTTGCACTTTGTTTATTGCACCATTGGACAATTAAACAACATCTATATAAATGGAGAAAGATTGAAGTTGTCAAAGACTTAATTTTGCTCAGACCAACCATCAACACTCACGGAAGCAACAGTCAAGAAATCAAAGATATATTGCATTAGGCATACCTGCTCACAAGCTCTCTTTAAAGTGTTTAAGAACAAAGATGTCAATTTGAGGAACAAGGTACGTCTGACCCAAGCTCATGGTATTTTCAATAAACCCATATGCATGTGAAAGTTAGACAATGAATAAGGAAGACTGTAGAAGAATTGATGCATATGAGTTATGGTGTTGGAGGAAAATATTTAAAGTACCATAGACTGCCAAAAGAACCAACCAATCTGTTTTGACAGTACACCCATAAGGTTCCTTGGAAGTCAGGATGGCCAGACTTCATCTCTTATACTTTGGAAATATTATCAGAAGGGACCAGTCCCTGGAGAAGGATATCATGTTTGGTAAAGTGGAGGATTGGAGAAAAGGAAGAAGACCCCCAACAAGATAGGCTGGCACAATGGCAGCAGCAATGGGTTCAAACAGCAATTATGGGACTGGGCTGTTTTGTTCTGTTATGCATAGAGTTGCTATAAGTCAGTACCAACTGGATGGCACCTAACAAAAATCTTACAAAGTCTAAGAAATAGACAATGATATGGCTCTTACTGCTAGCTAATTGTTGTTGTTGTTAGGTGCCATCAAGTTAATACCAACTCATAGCACAACAGAATGAAACACTGCCCGGTCCTGGGCCAACCTCACAATTGTTGCCACGCTTGAGCCCATTCATGCAGCCACTTTGCCAATCCATCTCACTGGGGGTCTTCCTCTTTTACTCTGACCCTCCACTTTACCAAACATGGTATCTTTTTCCAGCGACTGGTCCCCTCCTAATAATATGTCCGAATATGAGAGACAAAGTTTGGCTCCAAGGAGCACTCTGGCAGCTGATTTGTTGTTAAGTATTGTGGAATCGGTTCTGACTCATAGTGACCCTGTGCAGGGTTTCCAAGGCTGCAAATCTTTACGGGAGCAGAAAGCCTCATCTTTCTCCTTCAGAAGAGCTGGTAGTTTTGAACTGCCGACCTTGAGGTTAGCAGCCCAATTCGTAACCACTAGGATCAAAAAAACCAGTGTTCTTTCCACTGAAGAAATTATCTTTAAATAGTACGCTGAGACACTAATAGTAAAAGGTAATCAACCCATAACTTAACAAAGAGCTCAGATACTCTGGATTGTCAGTGCTCCTTTTTAGAATGTGGATCCTGGAAGGGCACCAACACTCCAACACTATCCTCAATGTGTTTCACCTTTCTCATGCAGTTGTGTGGATGCTGAGTGTCTATTTCCATCAAGAGATCTTAGACTTTTTGAGAGAATTGGCCTTAGGTTATAAATAATTAGCATACTAAGTACTCACCAGCATCAGGCACTACGCTACCCAGGGCATGCAATCTGTGTAAGCAGCTAAGCAACCTGAGCAGCTAAGTGAAATGTGAGCAAATGGCTGAAGTATAGATGCCAGTTCTTGCTTGTTAAAATGCCTCTTTGGTCGTGTTTTTTCAAAGTACATGATCACAGGTCTGAGGTGGACTTGAAGCTTCATTCTTCCCAACTCCCCAAGTGTCTGACTGTCAGAATTCTAGTGTCACAGGATCCTCAGGGAGAGACTCTGAACAGGTTCACCAACCCCTCTAAGCCTTAGTTTCCTCATATGTGAAAGAGGGTCATAAACCCTGCCTAAATTAGGTGGCTTTCTTGATAAAAGCCAAAAGAGTAGACTGGATGTGAAGACAAAGACTGTGTCCTAATGAAACCCACAGACAAGGACAGAGAATTTGACCCAATAACTATGGTTCATGCAAGTCATGCTGTGGTGAAGATTTAAAATGCTGAGGGTACACTTCCCACTGTTTAAAACATAACAAAAATGATCAATGCCTAATGGGCAAACTGGTAAGGTGGAGGGTTGTACAGTGACTAATCCTGCAATTCTAAGCATCTTGAATCCCAATTACCAGTCCATCTTCACATCCTGTAAGCTTTCCATCCTGTCACTAAAATTGCCTTCTTCCCATCTCCACAGACATCATTATCCAGCTATGTTAATTCATTAAATGAATACAGTTGGCTGGAGTCCTGGTGTGGCACTGTAGATTAAATACGGGCCTGCTAACCACAAGATTGGTGATTCAAACCCACCAGCCATTCCTTGGAAACCCCCAGGCTGCTAAGTGCCATCAAGCCAGTTCCAACTCAAAGCAACCTTGTATAGGGGTTGAGGAGCAGCTGGTGGATTTGAACTGCCAACCTTGTGGTTTGCAGTCCAGTGCTGAAGCCCCTATGTTGTTGTTGTTATGTGCCTTGGAGTCAGTTCTGACTCATAGCAGTCCTGTACAGGGAGGGCTTCCAAGGCTGTACATCTTTACGGGAGCAGAAAGCCTCATCTTTCTCCCGCGAAACAGCTGGTAGTTTCAAACTGCTGACCCTGAGGTTAACAGCTCGATTCATAACCACTACGCTAACAGAGCTCCTTTGAAACCCCTATGCAGGATGGCTATGAGTCAGAACCAACTCAATAGCACTTAACAATAATATAGTATGTTAAGAAGGAAGGTCTAACAATCTAATTTAAAAATCAGCCTGTGAAAGCCCTATGGATCACAACAGTCAGATCCAATAGCAATCAGAGAGTTCATGGGGTTGCTGCTGTACCTGGGGGTCACCATGAGTTGAGTGCCACCTCAATGGCAGCTAACAACTAAGATATGTACCTACTTTACTAGATGCCAAAAGTCAGCTGTGAACAAGAAAGATGCCCTGGTGAAGCAAATAAATAAACCATCCTAAATGGAAACCAAAAAGGTGCTGGACACAAACACTTTGATAGCTTGGTTATACAGGTCAAAGTAACCCCAGGACAGAACACAGTCCTCTTGCCTGGGTTATCCAAACAGCTTAGCTCCTTGCCTCTCCTCTCCACCACATGCAATCTCCTCTATACAGCCAGTAACCCTAAAACATGTAAAAGAATTGTCACGTACGCCCATTGCAATTTGAATGAGAGTAATGTTCACTCATTGTGCATGAAGTCGCTGTGTAGGGCAACTTGAGGGCCCCCAACTGCATTAAAGAACTGTTCACAGGGAATGAACAGACCAAAATATATATGCCCTAAGGGCAGTGATGGTGTCCTGGTGTGGCTCTGTGGGTTGATGCACTGGACTGCAAGGCTGATTTGAATCGCAAGGTCGGTGGTTCAAGCTCACCAGCCACTCCTCGGAAACCCTATACAGGGTTCCTATGGGTCGGAAACGACTTGACAGCACTAACAACATGTTTGGGGTCCTGGAGTGGCACTGTAGAATGAGTACTTGAAAGCCCTATACAGGAGGCAGAGACAATGTGGAGAGAAGGGGGACTCTAGACCCAGAGAGGGAGAGGTGGTGTGTGCTGAGGAGGAGAGGGGTGTAGGCTTGCTGGGTATACCCTTTGGTTAGTTGATGATGCATGGAGGGGATTGTAACCATGACACTGAAACGATGTAGGATGAATGTAAAGCTAATGTTCGCCATGTAAACTATCACATAATTCACAATAAAACATTTTTTTAAGTGCATGAATTGTTGAGAACAGATTTGCTCTGTAAACCTTCGACCAATTCACACACACACACACAATGCCTGTGAAAGAAGGATATGTATAATATGCTACTGTTTATACTGTTTTGAATTCCATTTGTTCATATGGCCACACAAAAGATATCAAAGTGTTAATGGTGGTTAACAATTGTTAACTGAACACTGGCCTAGTGTTAGAGAGAGGGACTACAACTATCTGATTTATACATTTCTGCATTGTCTGAACTGGTAAACATATATTATGTAAGTTGAATAAGTGAGTGAATGAATGAATATGTCTGCCTTCCTTTCAATAAAGGTCACATATTTGAAAAAAACAAAAAAACCCTATACAGGGTCGCTAGGAGTCCGCACTTAACATGAGTGGGAACCGACTTGAGGGCACTTAACGAGACGTTCTAGGGAGGAGAAACAAAACACACATTATTTTTAAACATAGTAATTTCGAAAATAAGGGCATTGTAGAAAAAGGATGGAATACTAAGGTGCTGGTGGGATTTTCAGGCAGCAATATTTGTAAATCCCTCGCGTTAGCGGCCTTGCCTCATGCTGTCCCCCACTTTCCTCTATTTCAGCCCCTTCATGGCGATCGTCTTCTTCCTTAGCCCTTTGCAGATACCGTTTTTCTCTGCCTGAGCCACTTCCCTCCTCTCTTCATCGATGCATTCCTCATCTCTCAGGTCAAATAGCACTGTTTGGGAAAAAACTCCACATGCGTCCATATTTGTATTCTAAACCTTCACAGCACCGTTCTCCTCACCTTAAAACACAGGTCATATTTTGATTTTATATCGCGTCTCTGTTTCTTTATTGTTTGTAGCTTCACACAAACTCCCTAACCTGGCCGGGAAGCTCGCGCCAAACACCAAGTTTATTGCGTCAAGGTATCCCGTACTTTGCGGCGCACTCACAGGAACCGGAAGTATGCGTTTTTTCCGGTTTATGAGAGTAGGGTCTGCGCGGCACAAGGGAAACCGGAAGTGTAGAGTTCCCGCTGCCCTACCGTAAACTCAGAGGAGGAAACGCACGCGAAGGCTGCCGGGAAGCGTGGCTTGTTTTAGTTTTTTTTTTTTTTTTAAAGTGAGCCTACCTCGTCACTTGCTGTTAGTGCGCTTGCGCTGCCTCTGTAAGCCAAGGTCGGGAACATGGCCGCACGGTCCTTGTGGGCGGTCCAGCGGCCAGTGCAGCGCCTCCTGGGCTCCAGTGCCGCGACCACTGGCAGGTAAACGAGGCAGGCGGGGGTGAGGAACGTGAGGTCAATGCTTAATGGGCAAACTGGAGAGGTGGAGGGAGAGGGTATACTTCAGCGCGGGCTGGAGATCCGGTGAAGCATGCGACCGGGCGCTCACAGGCCCATTTTACAGAGAGGGAAACTGAGGCGGACAGACACACCTCTTTCCCAGGCCGAGAAAGGCTAGAGGAGATCTGAGGACATGTCCACGGAAGTGGAAAGTATTATCATCCATGAACATCAATTGAATTTGAATTGTCTTTCCCTCCCCATCTAGAATGACCGCCGATCCTTTTTTTTTTTTTTTTTGCCCCGACTCCCAGTACGACGACCTTAGATCAGTCGCTTCCTTCACCTGGGCACCATTTTAATCTGTCAGTAAAACGGAGGGCGTTGCTCTTGGTTTTCCCAACGGGCCTTTCCACCTGCCGGTGGGCGTCTACCAAATACCAGTTGCTTCTTTATCACCATCACTGCATCTTTTATTAATTGCTCACCGCAGTGATGGCAGAACTGAGGATTGTTTTTTTTAGTATTATCCCCCATTTAATAATTGAGGAAACAGATTTAGAAAAGGTGAGTAGCTTTTACAAACGGAAATTCTCCAGAAGTAGTGGGACCAAGATTGGAAAGCAGTGAGGGTTCCTGAACGGAAGGTTTTAATTACTAGATGCCAAGATGATCCACAAGGTTGGCGGTTCAAGCTCACCAGCCGCTCCTCGTAAGCCTTATATGGGTCGGAACCGACTCGATGTCATTTAGCAACAACAATAAGATGACCCAAAGTAGCATAGAGATTATGAGTCCAGCTGCTAATCTCACGGTAAATAGTTTGAAACTGCCAGCTGTTCCGCGGGAAGAAAGATGAGGCTTTCTGCTCCCATAAAGATTTACAGCCTCGGAACCCCTATACAGGGTCACTATGAGTCGGAACCAATTCCATGGCACATAACCACTACTACTACTATTAAGATGACCCAAGGAGTTCTAGTATGGCGCTGCAGGATAATACATCGAACCACAAGATCAGCGGTTCAAACTAACCAGCCATACCTCAGAAACCCTTTACAGGGTCACTGTGAGTCGGAACCACTTCAATGGCACTTAACAACAACAAGGTGACCCAAGCCAAAATCATTGGACAATATCATTAATATCACATGCAAGTAAGATTTTGCTAAAGATAATTCAAAAGCAGCTTCAACAGTACATAGACCGGGAGCTACCAGAGGTTCCAGCCGAATTCAGACCAGGAACAAGGGATTTCATTGCTGATATTAGGTGGATCTTGACTTAAAAAACAGAGAATGCCTGAAAGATGTTTACCTGTGCTGTAGTGACTATGCAAAGGCTTTCAACTGTGTGGATCATGACAAGCTATGAACAACACTACAGAGAATGAGTATTTCAGAATACTAATGTGTTCATGAGGAACCTGTACGTGGACCAAGAGGCAGTCAGTCGTTAGAACAAAACAAGGAGACTCTTTTTAAAATCAGGAAAGGTGTGCACCAGGGTTGTATTCTTTCACCATATTTATTCAATCTGTATTCTAAGCAAATAATCTGAGAAGCTGGATTATATGGAAAAGAATGTGGCATTAACAGACTGCAATATGCAGGTGATACAACCTTACTTGCTGAAAGCAAAGAGGACTTAAAATACTTACTGATAAATATCGGTATGAGTTGCACTTCAATGTAAAGAAAACAAAAATCCTAACAACTGAACCAATAAATGGCATCCTGATAAACAGAGAAGAGATTGAAGTTGTCAAAGAGTTCATATTTCTTGAATATACCAACAATACTCATGAAAGCAGCAGTCAAGAAATCAAATGACATATGTACAGTGTTAGGTAAATCTGCACAATGCCTATTTAAAGTGTTGAACAGAGGTGTCAGTTTGAGGCTTAAAGTGCACCTGACCCAAGCCATGGTATTTTCAATAGCCTCATATGCATATGAAAATGGACAACAAATTAGGAAGACCATAGAAGAAATAGTGCATTTGAGTTTTGGTGTTGGAGAATAATATTAAAGGTACCAAGGACAACGGAGTCTTGCTGTGGCGCTATAGGATAAAATATTGGACCACAAGGTCAATTTGAACCACAAGGTTGGTGGTTCAAACGCACCAGCTGCTCCTCAGAAACACTATACAGGGTTGCTATGAGCCAGAACTGACTTGATGGCACTTAACAACAACAACACGGACAAACAAATCAGCGTTGGAAGAAATACAACCAGAATGCTGCCTAGCAGCCAAGATGGCCAGACTTTGTCTCTTATTGTTTCAGACATGTCAGGAGGGACCATCACTAGAAAAGGACATAATGATTTATAGTGAAGTTTTTGTGAAGTGCTGTCGAGTCGATTCTGACCCATAGCAATCCAAGGAGCGCCTTGTGAACTTGAACCGCCGACCTTGGAATTCAAATGGCTTTGCAGTCTGGCACATTAACCCACAGTGCCACACCAGGATTCCACAGTTAAGGATCAGCAAAAAAAAAAAAAAAGGGAGACCCCCCCCCCCCCAAAGAGATGGATTGGCAGAGTGGCAGCAGCAATGAGCTCCAACGTAATTTCATTATGTTATATATATGGTTTGAAACTACCAGCTGCTCCGCGGGAGAAAGATGAGGCTTTCTACTCCTGTAAAGATTTACACCCTCGGAAACCCTATACAGGGTCGCTATGGGTCGGAACCGACTCGATGGCACATAACAACAACAACAACAACATACATATGGTTGCTATGGGTCTGAATTGACTTGATGGCACCTAACAACAATTAATCTCAGAGACTATTCTAGAGGTTTCAACCCCGTTCCAGCTCCAAAAGCAGTTAGAGATTACTTTAATGCAAAGATCTATTTTACTTACCTATTTACAGTCCACAGTACATATATGTAGTCCATGTGTTTTTTATTAAGTTTGTCATTGACTTGATTTTACATGTAGCTAAGTCGCTAATGCAGGATCTCTTTCTTGGCACAGATTTTCTTTCCTAAAAGCCTTAAAAAGTTGTCATCAAGAAGGCTTCGTGTTCTAGGCCTAACTCCAGTTTAATAGTGTCCCTTCCCTAGGCTTTGTTTTCCCCATATGTAAAATGAGTTGAATCAGAACTGTATGGCTTTATGTTTTTAATTCCTGTCCTGGGTGTTAGAATTTAAGGTCCTCTGCTGCCTTTTGTGTACCCCATCTGTGCTATTTCTGTTGCTTAGTGCACTAGGCTGCTAGGTAGGTGATCTCATTTAGACTCTCTGAGCTTCAGTTTCACCTGCGCAAGTCATTTAGACTCTCTGAGCTTCAGTTTCACCTCTATAAAACGGGAATGATAGTAGTACCAATGATTTTGTTATGCGATGAAAAGAGATAAATCAGATAAAACCCCAAGAAAATATATGGCGCTTAGTAAGCATTTCCTACGGGTTCATATTGTTGTTATGTGTTAGATTGAAAACAGTTTCTCTAGAGACTCAATCTGGACATTAATCTGTAAGCCTTGGACCTTTGGGTGATAATGATGGCATTTTCTCATTTTGTACCCCCTACTCTAGGGCATGGCTAAATCCTTTCAGCACTGCTACCCAGAGGACTGCTGGTGAGGATTGCAGCTCTGAAGACCCTTCTGATGAACTTGTGCCCTCTCTGGCTGAACGAGCCTTAAGGGTAAAAGCTGTTAAACTGGAGAAGGAAGTCCAAGATTTAACAGTGAGTAGATTTTGTAGGATAAGCACTGAAATGCTAACCACCAAGTTCAAATCCACAAGCCACTCCTTGGTCGCTGTGAATCTGAATGGCTCACTTATCCACACTCTGTTCTTCACATCCTATATGTAATTTAAATATCAAAGTAAAGTTTTTGAAATTAAGTTTTGTTTAATTATCTCTACCTTTCCTTCTTCACCTTGCCTCACCTGCACTCTCTTGATTGGTTGTTGTTGTTGTTAAGTGTCATCAAGTCGGTTCTGACTCATAGTGACCCTGTATAGGATTTCCAAGGAGCAGCTGTTGAGCTTGAGCCACCAACCTCGCAGTTCAAACCGAAGTTGCAGTCCAGCACATTAACCCATAGCACCACACTGAACAAAATAATCTGTAGTAGTTCAAAAGCATCATTAACTAAAGATAATCATCTCTCTTTTCAGTTCCCTGTTGTGTCATAGCACTCAGGTATCTGCTGACTTGGCAGTTTCAAGGGATGTAATAGACAGTAAACATTTGTTGAATGTATGAGGTAATTGACCAGTTTACTACTCTAATGGTCAGAGCCCATATAGCATACTCTCAAACCTTATCCCGAGTTGACAGGTAAACTTGGAGGGAAATAAATAGAATAATTCCAAACCAAGACCACTGTGGAGTATAGAGTTTAACCTTGTCCAAAGAATTGCTCTTTCTCTCAGTTCCTGAGGTATAATCCATAAAACCTTGGAATTTCCCTAATGGTTTTAGTCCCTTAATAGGGACTCCAGAGCTGACAGGTTATGCTAGAGAAATGACTCTGAAGTGGCAGCCACGCCAGAGCCACTTACTTCTCATGGTTGTCAGATCAGAGAACTAGCCTCATGATGACATGGCTAGAGAACCTACCTTGTGATCGTGATCTAGACCAACTTTAGTGGAGGGGGACTCGGATTTGCATTTCCTAATGAGACACTCCCCTTCCCCCTAGTAAAAACTTTAGACATGTAATCTCCATCAGCTTCTTGGTTGGTAAAAAACGTCAGTGAACATGGTAGGTTAAGACATCCTTGTTTTGGGACATGGAAGCTCTGTGTGGGAAACGTTCCCAGACTTTGCCTGGTATGTCTTTCTCTTTATGCTGAACCTGCTTTATGTTTTTATAAGTATAACACTTCCCATGAGTTCTGTGATTTCTTCTCATAAGTTAATCAAAACTTAAGGAATAGTGCAAGCCAGCAGGTTGGAAGGGGAAGGGAACCCCTGAGCTATGGCTGGTATCCTGAGGGACTAAAGGAAACCTCTGAACTTGTAGCTAGAAAATCAAAAACAAGCAGGGACCCAGGGAATTCAAAACTTGCAGCTGGTATCTTGAAAGTCTTAGGCTATCTTGGCATGCTTCAGGACAGTGTCCTTTTATTCTGTGAGACCTGACCTAGCTCCAACTGGCAAAGGTCCAGTTAAGAAGTGTTACATGTGTAAATAAGGAAGACCATAGAAGAACTGATGCATTTGAGTTATAGTGTTGGAGGAGAATATTGAAAGTGCCACGGGCTGCCAAAGGAACCAACAGATCTGTGTTGGAAGAGGTGAAGCCAAAGTGCTCCTTGGAGACCAGGATGGCCAAATTTCACCTTTCATACTTCGGACATATTGTCAGGAGGGACCAGTTGCTGGAGAAGGATATCATGTTTGGTAAGGTGGAAGAGTTAGAGAAGGGGAGGAAGACCCCCAATGAGATGGTTTGGCCAAGTAGCAGCATCAATGGATTCAAGCATGGCAACAATAGTGAGGTTGGCCCAGGATCAGGCAGTGTTTCTTTTGGCTGTGCATAAAGTCGCTATGAGTTGGTACCAACTCCATGGCACCTAACAACAACATGTGCAGCTTGTGTCAATAGAACAGAAAAGTGGAAAGTGGGCGTTTGTTATTTCCTGATAACCACCCATAATGGTAGGAGTGACCAGGGATTGTTATGCGTGAAAGAGAAAGACTAAAGGTAAAGGTATTTTGTTTCATTTTGCTTTGTTTTGTTTTAAGGTGCTTTCAAATAGCTGATACATGTTCAGTACTTTCTCTCAGTTGTCCTGGAATTCAGCTCAGTGACAGAAAGTTAGAGGATGGTGGTATTGGCTGAATGTGAAAAAGAAAGCTGTTTCTTAAGATAATGAGCTCCCTGTTGCTGAGTGCTTACAAACTAGCAGGGTAAATGGCTGCCTCTCAGCCGTTAACAAACAGGTTCTTGCTCTGACTGGAGATTTGAAGTAGCTGACCTAATTAAGATTCCTACAACTTCTGGCTTTTTTTTTTTTTTTTAGCAAAACTTACCCCAAAAATGAAATTTGTAAACACTCTTGCCACCAGTTAACATTTGTGATCATTTTGACTCTGTTTTTGATGTTCAGGTGAGATACCAGAGAGCTGTGGCTGATTCTGAAAATATAAGGAGACAAACTCAGAGATGTGTCGAAGATGCCAAGATATTTGGTAAGTGAAAGTTTGATTCATGAAAATAAAAATACCATTCGATTTAAAGGCCCCTTACTAGCAGTTCTGCAGATTGAACATATTCAGACCACGTCTGGGTCTTTAACTCATCCTTACCCTACTCTCCCATTACCCCACATCTTCCTGTGCTGCTGTTCAGGAATGATGCCAAGTGAACCCCTTACTGAAATGTCACTGCCCTTACTTGACTTTACCAGGAACCCTGGTGGTGTAGTGGGTTAAAAATCCACTAAGCACTCCTTGTGAGAAAAAGGAAGCTTTCTGCTCCTATAAAGGTACGCAGCCTCTGAAACCCTACAGAGGGTTGCAGTGAGTCAGCATCGACTTGATGGCAGTGGGATTCGGTTTTTTACTTTACTAAGGGTTTTTTTGCTGTTTTTTTCCTAAGTATTTACAGCTATTACAGACAACATTCTGTTGCTTATAAAATAATTGTTTGACCTGTTAATGAATAGATTAATCACTGATGACTTTGAGTAAAGTTTTCATTCACTTCAAAGTCTTTCAACTGATTTTTTCCTAAACACACCACATCTCATTTTTAAAGATGTTCATGAAATGTTAGTTGAATAACAAGGATTCAGGGATAAAAGGCAAATCTGTGGTTACCTGTTTCCCTCATAATGTACTAGGGGCATGGTACTGTTTATCACTACACATAGAATCAAAGAGCTTGGAGGGGCACCTTTGGATTTTATGTAGTGTGATTCCCACCTTTTACAGAGTGCTAACCCATGTAGACCGGCATCTGCTAACTCCTATTCTGTCATTAACCTGTATGACGCTACTTCCTTCTTGTTAAGTGCCATCGAGTCAGTTCTGATTCCTAGCAACCCTGTATGAGGTCTCCAAGGAGCAACTGGTGGGTTTGAACTGCCAACCTAACAGTTAGCAATCAAGTGCTAACTTAATCATACAGTGCCACACCAGGACTTCCTGGTGTCAGGATTTTATCTGCTATTTGTGCATGAGATTCGTTTCACTCTGTTCCTATGCCGTGTCATAGCTGTCTGCTCTTCACTTGCTTCATTTCAGTGATTCAAGTGTCAGCTCAATGTTGCTAGTTGCTAATCTGTTGGCCCTGACTCATGGTGACCCCATGAACAGCAGAATGCAATGCTCTCTGGTCATGTGCCATCCCCGTGATCTGTTGTGGGTCATACTATTGTGATCCATAGGGTTTCCATTGACTGAAGAGATCACCGGGTCATTCTTCCTAATCTGATTTAGTCTGGAAACTGCAGAAACTTCCTCAGTGTCATAACTATGTGTAACTAAGCACTAACAGACAAATTGTGGCTGCACATAGATGCACTGGCTGGGAATCCAGGCCATGTCTCTCACATGGAAGACATGAGTAACATCACTAAGTAACACCATTGCTCCATGGTGTTGGACCTTACACATCTGTAATAATAACTTTCCTTATCATTTCTACAAACAAACTGGGAGTTCTGGGATTTCTCAGAAGCAGAGTTTCTTTATCCTGTAATCAGTCCTGGGACTCTAAAAAGATAATTTGTGGCCCATTTCCAGCAAGTATGTGTAACTTCATAGCAGGCAGTTAGAGACGCACTTCACCTGTGGATCTGTTAGATCTTAGAGGGCATATGCACAAGAACACCCACACTTGCAGATAATACCCACTTGACCTGGCTTCAGTGACTGGATGATCAGAGCTCAACTAGAAGAAGGAAGAGGAAAGAAAGAGTAATCTGATACAATTTGATGAACTTGACCTACACCTATGGATGCAGTAGCTCAAAAGAGGGAACAAATCTTTACAGCAAGGATCATTCCCACACCCTCGATACACAGGGCAGACAGGGATAGGCAATTTGGACATTGGCTACCCAAAAGGGGGGCGGGAAAGGGGGCGCTACAAAGGCAAAAGTGACTGGCTTACAAGCTTTCAAGAGAGAGGCCAGATTCAGAGGTTGCAAAGGAAGGTAGAATCTCCACTGAGTAGTATCCAATCTATCTGGGTGGGACTGATGAATTGAGATGTGGATAGCACTCATGTGGCACAATAGTGAATAATTACTAACAGGACTGACTGTTGAAAATGTAAAGGTAGACGTTTTTTAGCCAAAGGAGGGGAGTGGTTGACTTTGCAGTCCAGGAGCGGAGGGCCCTGGGACCATCAAGGGAGAAGAATGGAATGTGGGACCCTACCTAGAGAAGCAGTGATGCCAGAGATAGAGGCAAAGACGATGACGTGGAGAGATGGAGCAGCTGGAGACTTTAGACACAGAGAGGGAGAGGGACTGTGTGCTAAGGACCAGGGACCGGCTTGCGGGTATAACATTTGGTTGGTTGATGATGCATGGAGGGGATTGTAACCATGACAGTGTAATAATATACGATAGTATGAATGTAAAGCTAATGTTCTCCCGTGTAAACTATCACATAATTCACAATAAAACATTAAATAAATAAATAAACCAGTCTTAATATTATCACTAATCCCCTCCCCACAAAAGAGTCTAAATAAGGCTATTATTTTTTTCCTAATCAGAGGCCCGGTGTGGTGCTGCAGATTAATGTGTTGGACTGCAAAGTCAGTTTGAACTGCAGGGTGGTGGTTCAAGCTCACCAGCTGCTCCTTGTAAATCCTATACAGGATTGCTATGGGTCGAAACTGACTCAATGACAGTTAACAACAATAATTTATTTTTAATATTTTATTGTGACTTGAGTGAAGGTTTACAGAGCAAATCATCAGTTTCACATTCATCAAATCTTATACTTGCTTCACTACAGTGATGACAATCCTTCCATGTGCCATCAGTTTACTGTATTGCCTTTATTTCCTTTAAATCCTGCATTCCTCTTGCCTGTCTCCTGCTGCCTTCATCTTTCCTCTGCCAGCCTCCCTCTTGTATATTGCCTGGCCTGTCACCCATGTTAACTAACATGTCTACCCTCTAGCCGGTGAATAATTTTCCCTATCCATCTACTCTCTGGTAACCATCATAGAATGTTTTAAAAATGGGTACTCTTACTGTTTTTAATTCTTGGGTTCTAACCATCTTCCCCATTTCCTCATGCCCTAGTAGGGTCCATCGTCATATACATGTGTGCCTTCTAAAGGAAACACGGGCATTACAGTTGGGTTGGGGTGTTAATCAATGGTGATTCCTGAAACCTGTAAGGTGGTAACCTTCCTCAGCCTACACTCCCACAGGCCAAGGCACAGGTAATTTCCTCACAAATTGTACAGTTGCCTGTTTTCTTTGTATATTTTTCCAGGAATCCAGAGCTTCTGTAAGGACTTGGTGGAGGTGGCCGATATTCTGGAGAAGACTACAGAATGCATATCTGGAGAAGCAGAACCTGGAGACCAAAAGCTCACTCTGGAGAAGGTCTTCCGGGGGTTGTCCCTTTTAGAAGCAAAGCTAAAAAGTGTATTTGCAAAGCATGGTCTGGAGAAGATGACACCCATTGGGGACAATTATGACCCTCATGAGCATGAACTTATCTGTCATGTGCCAGCTGGTGTTGGGGTACAGCCTGGCACTGTGGCATTAGTAAGGCAAGATGGCTACAAACTTCAGGGTCGCATTATTAGACTTGCCCGTGTGGAAGTGGCAGTTGAGTCCCAGAGAAGACTATGAATTAACCATCAAGAACTGACTGTTTTCCCAGAGTGCAGTCACTTGTATTTCCGTTATTTATTAAACTAGGTTTGTATTGTACATGAGGTACTTCATGTGATCTGTTTGGGATCTAATCATACTGGCTTTATTTCTAAGCTGTTCTGTTGAGTTAATGTGACCTGATTGGTCTTATCAGAAGTCTTTCCATTGGGCATTTGAAAAAGTGGCAAGTATTCCTGTGGCCTTTATCAAAATAATGTTTAAGAATACTATTTTTAAATTGTTTAATTGGTACTCAGATGACTTTCACTCCAAAATCTTTTAAAAATGTGGAAATAAGTTTATGTTATTTTGACTAACTATCCTTTCTAATGGTCCCTATAATAGGAATTATTTAGGATCTTGTCAATTTATTATTATTATTATTACTATTTTTTTTAGAAAAAGGGATGATAGGGTTTATCATGTGTTTAGTATTTGGGTATTTAGATGATAAAGCTTTATAATCACATAAATTTAAATCATTTTTGTTGATTTTTATAATACATAGAGATTTTTAGGACTTCCCCTTTTTATTTTCTTACTTTCCTTTTAGCTTTCATTGGTCCTTGTCCCTATCAGTAGGCTTCATATTCACACTCATCCCATTCCCACTTCCCGTTCTCAAAGTCTGAAGGCCCAGGCAAGGCTTGGAAAGAGAAGACCCTCCGAATCTTTCTGCTTCTGAAGTATGAAAGCCTGGTCTTTATAGGACTAGCCCCAAAGGAAAAGAATCTGTAAATGAATGAGCTAAATTTCACTGAGGACTTGAATAACAAACAACTAGATAGTAACTTCAGTTATTTAAAGATTCAACAGTTCTTAAATGAACATGTAAATATGTTCCAGCAGGCAATTAAATGTTAAGTGCTGTTGAGTCATTGCAGACTTATAGCACCCCTGTATAGGGTTTCCAGGAAGCAGCTGGTGGGTTTGAACTACCAACCTTGTGGTTAGCTTATCCTACAGTATCACACCAGGACCCCTAATTAGATATTCAATGTCCCAATTACACGGGTTTAGATAAAAGTTGTCATAAGGTGCTGTCAAGCTGATTTCGAGTCATGGATCCTATGAGGCTGACTACACCTGTCCCATAGGGTTTACTTGACTAATCTTTACTGAGGTACGTCACCAAGTCTTCCAGCAAGCTACTGATTAGGTTCAAACTAAGCTTTTCAGTTAGCAGAGTTCTGTTAGTGACGCCAGGACTCTAGTTATCCATAAAGTAAAATCATTTCCACTTCTGGAACCCAGTGGTTCCATTCAGTAGGATAGTAGAAGTTGTCCTCTTATATAGATCATTCTAGACATTACACAGACAAACAAGGAGCCCTTGTGGCACAGAGGTTAAGTGCTTAGCTGCTAACTGATGGTTTCTCCCACTCCACGGGAGAAAAAAAACCTGTTTGTGTGAAGGTGACAGCCTAGGAAACCTTTCTCTGGGGCAGTACTACTTTGTCACATAGGTCGCAATGAATTGGAGTCTACTCGATGACATACATGTCTCTGATCAATTTAAAGTGCAAACAAAAGATGTCATTGTTAAGTGCCGTTGAGTTGGTTCTGACCCATAGCAACCCTTTATAAGGTTTCTGAGGAGTGACTGGTGAGCTTGTACCACCAATGCTGCAGTTCAAACTGACTTTGCAGTCCAGCACATTAACCCACAGGGTCACACCAGGACCAACAGATATGTTGTTGTGAAGTGCCATCAAGTTTGTTCCGACCCATAGCAACCCTATATAGAGTTTCCATGGAGCAGCTGGTGACTTTGAACCGCCAACCTTGTAGTTCAAACGGCTTTGCAGTCTGGCGCATTAACCCACAGCGCCACACCAGGACTGCAGGACCACCCGATAGGTGGTAATGTTTTAAAACCTGAATCCCTTGACAGTCCACTGAGCGCATAATGAAATCTAATAAGCAAACAGATTTCACAGTAGAAGTCCATCTCTCTTTTTACTTTTGATCCAATAAGATTGGCAGACAGTGACAAAGAATTGAGCCACTCATCCATGCTTGTTCTTGGATTACTAGCTGTCATTACCAGTGAACTGGATTTTTTTTTAAACTAGATATGGAATGTTCTGATTACCTCAAGAGTTTTCTAAAAAATTTTTTTTCACCTCTTTTACAAGTAGATTGAAAATAATTTAAGGTGTTTATATTATTTAGGAGTTTTGCAGGCTTCTAGAAAATGAAACTGTAGGAATATGAATCTCAAGAAGGTTTTAGAGTCTAGGCTTGGTAGGTACAGACTTAAACCCAAATTTCAACGTATACTTCACAATTTCTGTGACTCTGGACTCTGGTCATTTCACCTTTCTGAGCCTGTTTGTTGTTGTTGTTATGTGCCGTGGAGTCGGTTCCGACTCATAGCGACCCTGTCCAGGGTTTCCAAGGCTGTAAATCTTTACGGGAGCAGAAAGCCTCATCTTTCTCCCGCGGAACAGCTGGTAGTTTCGAACTGCTGACCTTGTGGTTCGCAGCCCGATTCGTAACCACTACGCTACCAGAGCTCTGAGCCTGTTTACTTACCTATAAAATGGTTATAATAATTTTCTCATAATATTACTATGATGATAAAATGAAATATGTAAATTGCCTACTAGTATGCCTTCAGTAAATATTGATTTTAATTTTACACATTGTTTTTATAGTTGCTCAAAGTCTAAGGTGCGCTGATAGTGATGTGGGGTACACATTTGGCTGCTAACCGCAAAGTCAGCGGTTTGAACCCACTAGCAACTCCTCAGGAAAAAAGATGAGACTATCTGCTCCAGCAAAGATCTACAGTCTTCAAGCTTACATAGGTCACTATGAGCCAGAATCCACTGGTTGAAAAAGTCTAAAGATGGGAAAGACTGGATAAATAGAGAGTCATTATTTTAAAAAAAAACAAAACCTTACAAGCTAATCAGTCACAGTAATGATTTTCCTTCCAGTTTTAAGTATGTTTGTGTTTGTCTGTTTTTAAACCATGACACAGAAATGCACATTATGGGAACAGGAAAATTTTTTTAATGCTCTTATTTATTTTCATCTTAACGGTAAAGTGAAGAGGCTTATTGGCATGCAGATGATAATGTAAGGACACTTGAGCTCACCTGAAGAGGGGATCTGAGGGTTTTAGTACTTGGAGGCTGTACATCTCTTTCGTTTATGCGTTGCCATGAAGAAATCAGTCCATTTGATAAGACTAGTTGGTGCTCTCTTTCATGGCAAAGAATATGATAAGGGAAGAAATTAAAACCAAATGGGGAAACAAAGGACAAAATATAATGCATAGAGACAACTGTAATAAAAACCAAATTGAAATAACTGGTTCAGCTGTTGAGTGTGTTTCTCTGCTTAATTTCTTTTTTATACTGGCAAGTTAGGGTCACTTCATTGAATGATCACTTGCAGTATTGATGCTCAATGGAGGCACCCTGAGGTTTCACAGCAGTCCAGCCCTCAATATGAGAAATGTCAAGGGATTTGGGAGTCATGTTTTAAAATTGGAAATATGAAAAACAGTGGATTAGAGCCAAACTATACAGGCAGGATTAAAGCAACCATGAAATGCAAGGGCAAACTTTAGGAAAGGCTGGCTCCAAAGAGGACCCAGTCACTTAGGATGGGTATGTATGAAAGCCAGCTGAAGTAAAAGACCAGGCACTTAGAAGATGGGAAAGATACATGGACAGTCAGGTCAGAACAAGGCTACATTTCAGTAACTGGCTGGGAGGCTGGTCAGGAGTCTAGCAGTACAAGTGAGTATTTACTCACCTATCATTTTACGTGGGACTGTATGTAGGATCAGCACTGGACTGCTAACCACAAACCCACCTCAGAAACCCTAGACAGGTACACTGTAAGTTAAAACTTAACCACTTTACTAGTGGTTTCCCAGTTTGGCCCCGGTAAATTAGGACACCAATTGACATAGCAATCCGAGATACAAACTTGGAAGTTTACAGATCCCTTCTGTTTCTTAGCCATAATCTGCTTATTTCCCTTCTTTATCCTGAAACTCAATCCCCAAATTTTTTTGCCAGAAGGTATCTATCTGCCCCTCACAATGTTGTAACTTAGTCACACAGAACTGTGATTTCTTAAAGGATTTCGGAAAACATTGGCTGAAACTCTTCTCTTTTGATTTTTAACAAGCATAGGGTAAAGATGTTAAGTGCCGACTCATAATGACCCTATACAGGGTTTCCGAGGCTGTAAATCTTTACGGGAGCAGAACGCCTCATCTTTCTCCCGCGGAACAGCTGTTGGTTTCGAACTGCTGACCCTGAAGTTCGCAGCCGGCTTCGTAACCACTACGCTACCAGTAAAGATAGAAACTGTAAATCCGCCTAACTAACAGCAACCTCGCAGAGATCTGGACTTGTCTCAGCATCAGCATAAGGCAGCGTCTAGCCACCCTGACTACATGTTTGGTCAGCATTTTCCAACTCTTGCAGGCACGCACAACTATTACACATCCCTTGTCTCACGTGATCGTCACAGCCACATAGATGGCTAGAACAGGGATTGTTTCTCCGTTTTTTAAGAGTGGAAACTTAGTGAAACATAGAGAAGACACATTACAGAGGGTAACTCGCAGAGATAGGACTTTAGAAGCCAGCAAACTGGGCCCTGGTCCTGATGCTGTGAAGCCGAAGCAAGCACACCTGCGCCAGAGCTAGGACGAACCAGCAAATGGGGATCCTGCACCCGGGAGGCGGGACGAAGGAGCTGCCAATGATGAATCCTTCCTAGAGAGAGAGTTAGCTAATGAGGGCCCGGTGATGTAGAGAGATGGCTGTTAGTCCAATGAAAGGCTGTAACCAACAAGACTGGAAGGCGGAACGACCAGCGGGCACCGGGGCGGGGCGGTGAGTTGATCACCAACCAGCGAGGGTTAACCCCGTCGCCGCCCGCCATGGCTCGAGCTGCCCAGCTCCTCGCCGCTCTGGCCGCGCTTTTCTCCGCCGCTGCTGCAGGCGGAGATGCCTCACCTGGCAAAATCGGTGCGGGGAGGACGGGATGGAATGGCTGGGAGGGCTGGGCGGAAAAAGGATGTTCAGCTGCTGAATGGGGGAAGGGAAGGACAGCTGGGCGAGGGAGGGGTCTTAGGAGAGGAACTGGGTGGTTGGAGAAGATTCGCACTAGGAAAGGAAGAAGATGGTGGGGAAGGTGCTGATGGGGAGGAAAGCATGGGATGTGAAGAGAGCTATCTGGAACCGAAAAGGGGCTTGGGTGGGATTGGCCATAGGTGTCACCTAAACGTCCAGGGATCACTAATTGAGCGTATGTAATGGACATGACCGCTTGCTAGGTGTCCCATTGACACACAGGAAGTCGTCTGGGCAGTGTCACTTACAAAGGTTTATTGAGATCCATCTCTAGCTGGCCATAGTGCATCATAGTTCTTCCCCGGGGGTAGATTGCACCGTGCAGGGACGCAGGGACGTAGTGTGCTGTGGCAGAGAATGTGCCATTAATACCAAGACCGACACTTCACCTCAGGCGTTGTAACTTGGGAGAGCTTCCTAGGAGTAACCTATCAGCAGAATGAGTAAAAGACATAGCCTTATCAGAGACAGAGCCTGTGATAGGTCTGTTGCCAAAAGATTTGCAGAATGACAGTGAGAAACATTTTTGCAAGAATCCTTTTGTTGATTATTTGTGTGTTTTCCCAGTGTTTTATTTTGAAATTTTTCAAGTATACAGTAAAGTTGAAAGATTTCTATAGTATTTACTACATCAACCGTTAACAAAAGTTACTGTGTTTGCTTTATCACGTATTTCTCAATCATTCTATGACTCCAGTAATCCATCTATGGGGTATTTTGATGTATTGCAATTAAATTTCAGTCATCAGGACATTTCTGCCATAACATGACATAACTTATGACATAACTTATGTCATGTTATCGTTGTTGTTCATTGCCAACAAGTCGATTCTGACTCATATTGATGGTGGATTTGAACCATCAACCTTTTGCTTCACAGTCCAGTGCTCATCCTATAGCGCCACACCAGGAGTCCATCATGTTATCATTAGATGCAGTCAAGTCAGTTCCAACTCACAGCTACCCTATGTACAACTGAATGAAACACTGCCCAGTCCTATGCCATCTATTCCATCATTGTTATGTCTGAGCCCATTGTTGCAGCCAATGGGTTAATCTGTCTCTTTGAGGGTCTTCCTCTTTTTCACTGACCCTGTACTTTACCAAGCATGATGTCTTTCTTCAGGGACTCGTTCCTCTTGATACCATTCGCCCTTCCAAGGAGCATTCTGGCTGAATTTTTTTCAAAAGAGATTTATTCATTCTGTTGGCAGTTCATGGTATATGAGGGAACTTCAAAAGTTCTTGGAAAGGATTACTTTTTAATTCCATTTTTCCATAAGCAAGCTTTAAGCACCCTCATATTTAGTATTCTTCTCCAATACCATAATTTGAATGCATCAAGTTTTCTTTGGTTTTACGTATTCATTGTCAAGTTTTGCATGCATTTGAGGCAACTGAAAATACCATGACTTGGGTCAAGTTTATCTTAATCCTCATAATGATCTTTGCTCTTTGACACTTTACAGAGGTCTTTTGTAGGACAAGACATTTGCCCAAATGTAATATGTCATGGGATTGCTTCCATGGGCATTGATTGTGGATCCAAGTAAAATGAAATCCTTGACAATTTCAATATTATCTGTGTTTATCCTGATGGTCAGAGTCCTGGTGTGCTGTGGGTTAATGCACTTGAATACACAGACGTTTGAACTGTAAGTTCAGTGATTCAAGCTCACCAGCTGCTCCTCAAAAACCCTATGCAGGATTGCTATGGGTCTGAACCGACTCAACAGCACTTAAAAACAACAACATCCTGATGATACTTACTGGTCTTTTGTGGGGATGTTTGTTTTCTTAATGTTCGATTATAATACATGCTAAAGGCTATAGTGTTTGATCTTCATTAGTAAGTGCTTCAAATCTTGTTTGTTTTCAGCAAGCAAGGTTGTGTCATATTTCAGGTTCTTAGTGAGCCCGCCTCCAATCCTGATGCCCCATCCCATTGGAGCAGGCAGCAGAATAGCACACTTTCCCCCAGCTATTGGGAATGTGAGAACCAAGGTGCACTTGATCCAAGCTGTGGTATTTTCAATCACCTCTATTCATGTGAAATTTGGACAATGAATAAGGAAAACTGCCAAAAAATTGAAGCATTTGAATTATGGTGTTGCAGAAGACTATTGAAAGTACCATGGACTGCCAGAAGAACAAATACATCTGTTTTGGAAGAAGTGCAGCCAGAATACTCCTTAGAAGCCATGATAACAAGACTTTGTCTCTCATATTTCAGACATCAGGAGGGACCAGTCCCTGGAAAAAGAACATCATGCTTGGTAGTAAAATGGAGACTCGTTAAATAAGAGGAAGACTCCAACAAGATGGATTGACACAGTGGCAGCAGCAATGAACTCAAACATAACACGGATTGTTTGGGTGGCATAGGACGGGGCAGTGTTTCATTCTGTTGTACATAGGGTAGATATGAGTTGGGACTAACTTGATGGCACCTAACAACAGTGGTAGCAGGTAACAGGATAGTGTACTTCCCCGCTGACCATTGGGAGAAGGGCTAGGCCTCATCCCTGCAGGATTATTACTCGTAGTGCGAGATTTACTCTTTGCGTCATTCCAGCTGGCCCTGCTACCTCATCCCAAGACTCATCCAGGGCAATGGCAAGCTGCCATTTAGCTTTCTCAATTTTCCTCAGCCCTTGCTCACCCTTAGAGGTACAAACTCTACCTACAACAAGAATGAAGAGCTTTCTGTCAGAATGACTTCAAACCTTGGACTCTGGAGAGCTAATCTAAATGCCCCAGTATGATACCTTGACCGTTTAAATCTACCCACAGTTCCATTCCACATACTTCCCTTGCTCATGTGTTTCTCCATGTTTCTTCTCACTGGCAGAAACCATATTGTCCTTCAGCGCCTTGATCAAACGTTACTTCCTGTGACGTCTTTGCCTCACACCTTCATAGACAAAACTCATTGCTTCCTGTTTAGAATTTGCTGGTGTTGAACTTCACTACAGGTTGGCAGAGCTGATTGTGCATGAGTCTGCTCACTCCCTGCCTGGGCTCCTGGGGACAGAGGCCTCGGGACCAGAGTGAGTGTCAGAGAAAGTGTGTTGGATGAGTTGGATCACAATGAAGTGATGTCTTCTCCTTCCCTTGTGATCTCAGTTCCTCTGGGTAAATGAGTGATTTGCAACTCTGCTTGCAAATGGAGGGGAAGGAGAACACATTGGTATAGTAGCTACACCAAGTTTCAGGGCATTCTTAGAAGTGGCTTTGTGAATCCTGAGGTGGAGGAAGTGGCTTATTCTTTCAGCTTGCACCTGCTAGGATTCTGGGGGTGTAGTGACCCCAATATCAGACCTTGCAGGGATATGCTTAAACAGTCATCTTCTAGATTGCTTTCTGTTCTTTAACATTGCTATGTAAAGAGTAGATTCTGCCTGGACTACCTTCGTGTAGCACCTCAGAGCCTTCTCCAGTGAGATATTCTTATCAGTGACTTGGGTGAGAGTATCTATGGCATCCGTAACTATGTTTGTAAGTAATAGGAAGAGGGTGGTGGACATAGATAAAGACAGTGAATGATAGGACCTAAAAAAGACCTCAACAAACTGAAACTTCATACCCAGAGTCCAAATGCAGATAGACTACCCATAAAGTAGTCAGTATTCCATCCCAGGATGTATTCCAGCTTTGACTAACACAGATGTAGAAATGATTGTGTCAGGTGCTAAGTTGGACTAGACAAACTTTTCCTGTAAATAGTAAGTATTTTAGTCTTTGTTGTTGTGAAGTGCCGTCGAGTTGGTTTCGACACATAGCGACCCTGTATAGAGTTTCCGAGGAGCAGCTGGTGAGCTTGAACCACCCACCTAGCAGTTCAGACAGCTTTGCAGTCTGGCGTGTTAACTCATAGCGCCACACCAGGACTCTTGTTTTGCTATGTGGTGGTGTTTATGTGCCGTGGAGTTGGTTCCGACTCAGCAACCCTGTACAGGGTTTCCGAGGCTGTAAATCTTTACGGGAGCAGAAAGCCTCATCTTTCTCCTGCATAACAGCTATTAGTTTCAAACTGCTGACCCTGAGGTTAGCAGCCTGATTCGTAACCACTATGCTGCCAGAGCTCCTTATTTTAGGCTTTGTAGGTCATATAATTTCTGTTGTAGCTACTCCATTTTACCAAGCAGCAAGGCATAGACAATGAGTAAAAAAAAAGGAATTGACCAAAGCAGACTTCTGGCTGGATTTGGCCCACAGGACCTCTGGATTAAGTAGTATGGTGGGTGGCCCAAATGGTTTGTTCTGAGCTACTAACCAAAAGGTTAGTGGTTTGAACCTACCCAATTGCACCACAGAAGAAAGGCCTGGAAATCTGTTTCTGTAAAGATTCCAGCCAAGATAACCTAGTGAACCTCAGTTCTGTTCTATCACATGGGGGCACCATGAGTCAGAATCAGCTCAGTGGCAATGGATTTGGTCTTTTAGGGTGGATGGATTGAATAGTAATTTCTAAACACTGAACCACCAAATGGTACTGGCTGGTGAATACAGTTTTTATTAATTCATACTTAAATTAGAAAAATAGGCACGGTGTATAAGTTTTATTTGTTTTTATGTATTCTCTTTTTTTGTTTGCATTTTAGTGTGGTTTGAAAGTTTGCAAAGCAAATTTACATTGTAATGAGTTTTGTATATATCTGAAACAACCATCCTGAATTTTGAGATTCTTTCCTTGCTCTTTTACTGCTAAGATGTGTCTTTATAAAATGAGAGTTATAGTTATTTTGGAGTCCTAGTGTGGCACTGTAGGGAGCTCTGGTAGCGTAGTGGTTACGAATTGGGTTGCGAACCACAAGGTCAGCAGTTCGAAACTACCAGTTGCTCCGCGGGAGAAAGATGAGGCGATCTGCTCCCGTAAAGATTTACAGCCTCGGGAACCCTGTTCAGGGTCACTATGGGTCGAAACCGACTCGACGGCACTTAACAACAACAACAAGTGTGGCACTGTAGGATAAGCGTTGGACTGCTAGCAGCAAAGTTGGCAGTTCAAACCTACCAGCTGTTCCTCAGAAGCCCTATAGTTTCCAGATTGTTGTTAAGTGCTGTTGAGTCGGTTCCAACTCATAGCGACCCTATATGGGATTACTGAGGCTTTAAATCCTGAAAAAGAGCAGACACTCTTATCTTTCTCCCTAGGATCGGCTGGTGGTCTCAAAACACAGACCTGTGGTTCACAGTCCAGTGCTTATCACTGTTGTTGTTAAGTGTCATTGAATCAGTTCTGACTCATAGCGAACTTGTATAGGGTTTCCAAGGAGCGGGTGGTGGACTTGAACCTCCGACCTTGTGGTTCATTCAAACTGACTTTGCAGTCCAGCGCATTAGCCCACAGTTCTACACCAGGACTCCAGTGCTTATCATAAGCGGCAGTTTTTTGTTGACCATTGTTTTCTATTAGTAACTTTACTAAAAACCCAGTCTGTAAACCTCTTTTTTGTGTGTAACTGGAATGTCAGGGAACGACCAGGTGAGGACTAAGGTGCCACCTGCAGTCTCTTACTGTCTCACTCTGTCTGTCTCTCCTTCCCTGCCTTCCGGGCCTGCTGACAGCTGTGGTTGGGGCTGGAATTGGGGGCTCTGCTGTAGCCCATTTCCTCCAGCAGCACTTTGGGCCCCGAGTGCAGATCGACGTGTATGAGAAGGGGACCGTGGGTGGCCGCCTGGCCACCATCTCCGTCAACAAGCAGCACTACGAGAGCGGGGCCGCCTCCTTCCACTCGCTGAGCCTGCACATGCAGGATTTCGTCAAGCTGCTGGGTGAGTGTGCAGTGCAGGCCCGGCTGGCGGCAGCCTCCACCCATTCCCAGACGACCTGGGTGGTCAAGGCTGAAAGGTCATATAGATCAATCTCCTCGTTTTACAGATGGAGCAGCTGAGACCAGAGAGGGGAAAGAACTTGCCTGAGGTTGCACAGTGAGTTAGTTGCAGAGCCGGGATTAGAATTCAGGTTTGATTTCAGGCCAGTTTCTTTCCCTTTCAATTGTTGTGGCCATATGACTTCCATGTGCCATGGGCTGGCTGGGTACTTGGTACCATCTAGGTGGTATATAGGCATTATCTCTAATCCTCCCTACCAGCCTTCAAGATGGGTATTATCTCTTGCTAAGGGAACTGAGGCTCAGAAACTGTACATACATTGGCCAAGGCCATGAGTTAATAAGTGAGTGAACTCAGATTCAAACCCAAGAGCATCTTTTAAAACCACAAATACACATCCTGTTTGACTTAAAAATTCCACTTCTCAGAAATGATCCTACAGATGTACATGTGCAAAGTGGCAGACATACAAGTTTATTCATTGCAGCATTGGCTGTATTAGCTAAAAGTCTGAAATATCCTACCTGCCCACCCCTAGGGTTAAAGAAATATGGGACACCATACAGGAGCTCTGGTAGCATAGTGGTTACAAATTGGGCTGTGAACCGCAAGGTCAGCAGTTCAAAACTGCCAGCTGTTCCACAGGAGAAAGATGAGGCTTTCTGCTCCTGTAAAGATTTACAGACTCAGAAACCCTGTACAGGGTTGCTATGAGTCAGAACCGACTCCACGGTACATAACAATAACATGCAATACAACATTCAATAGCTAGCATGAGGAAGCCCTGTGTGTCCAGTATATAGCAGTATACTCAAAGACACAGTGTATTGTTACAGTACAGAAAAGTACTTATGAATGTGGGGGTGTAGAGAGAAAAAATTATAGATGTACACAAAATATCTCAGGAAGGATGCTCAAAAAATGTACTTCCTGGTTGTCTCTGGGAAATGGAACTTAGTAGCTTAGGGACAGGATTGGGAGGGAAAGAAAGAAAAAACAAGACCTGTAATTTGGGGTAGGACAGGTCATATCCCCTCTAAGCCTTGGTTTCCCCATCTTTAATTGAGAACAGTAATACCTGTCTGCCTTCTCTCAGGCTGTTAGAGGACAAAGTAAGATTGAGTGAGCCCCGCTGCTTGTATATATTGAGGAGAGCTGCATGGCTGTACAGAGCTATGACTATTTCTCACTTAGTCTTGGGACCAGGGCCTCCTCAGACCAAATCCTGGACATTCTGAGATGACACCTGAATTTCCCTTTCTCACAGATGAGTGGGTCACCATTGAAAAAAGTAGCAAGTGCTACATTCTTTTAATATTCATGTCTATGGTGGCTACCGGCCAGATATTTTCCTAGTGTATTTGTTTACTGTTTATAAACAAGCAACACAAATGAACCATACAGACTGTTTTCTTTCATGGAACAATCTGCTTGTATCCATCAGCAAGGCCCTGAGTTTCAGTTTACGATACTACCAGGTATCCTGGGTGGAAGAACCTTTGAAGAGGGCATAAGGGCTTCCTTCTTGTCTCCTCAGGGCTGAGGCACCGGCGTGAGGTGGTAGGCAGAAGCGCCATCTTTGGTGGGGAACATTTTGTGCTGGAGGAGACCGACTGGTACCTGCTGAATCTCTTTCGCCTTTGGTGGCACTACGGCATCAGCTTCCTGAGGCTGCAGATGTGGGTAGAGGAGGTCATGGAGAAGTTCATGAGGTGAGGCTGGGTGGAGCTGTGGGGAGGGTGGGAAGGGAGGACTAGGCTGGGAAGAAACCATAATGACTAAATGGTCAATAAGGAAAAGGTATTTGCTGACTTGGGAGCCCACCACAACTCAGTCCAAGCTCAGCAAGTCATTCTCGTGAAGAATGCACTTGTTTGGTACAGGGATTGTCTTTCAAGCTTTGTCACTCTGCATCCTCTTTCCCTCTGCTAACTGGGTTTCAAACCCGGTTGCCCCCCTGGTGTTGAGCTGCGACATTGAGAAGTGAAGCATCCTGGGTGGAAGAGAACAGAACAGGGGACAGTGGTGTGCCCTGAACAGCAAGGCCAGTGCTCACTACCATCAACTGTGACCATGTGGGAATATAGACATTATGGGCTAGCTCCAATTCTCAGAACAAAATAGAAATCCAGATTTGAGGGTGAAGTCATTCAGTTACTCAGCATAGGTAGCCCATTATCTTATAAGCCAATCAGACACATGTGTAGACCAAACGTTCCCTGTGGGCCACAGCTGCCAACTCTGCTATACCCTAGTTGTTGTTTTTTCTCACCTAGAACAATGACCTTTCTTCAACAGTTCTCTCTCCTGGGGTCCTAGTCTTCTGGCCATCACCTCAAGATAATAAAAACAAGTGGTCTATTCTCACTATATCCATTCGTTCCGATTTTCCCCCCACTGAAGGTTCTCATTGTTTCCTGACCCCAGGTGAAGAGGCTTCTTCTCTGGCGTATTTCTGCCTTTTCTTCAGTGTCAGACACTCAAGCACGGCCTCCAGCCCTCCTTCCCTAGTTTCTGGCACTATGTCCTTCCTACTTTTTTTTAATGTGCTTTTTGGCTCTTCCTATCTTTTCCAGATGCTCCTTAAAGGCCCCTTCTTTCTTATATTTTTATCCCTTGTCAATTATATCAAGACCTATAAAGCTGGGTTCTTCTCTCTTTTGGGGGAGATGACTTCTGCCTGTCAGGTCAGGCCCTAGTTTCTACCATAACTTCCAGACCCACATTTTAGCTGCTCCCTGGATGCTTTCACCTGGTGTCTTGTTGATCACCCAAACTCAACATATTTGCAAAGCAGCCCTAGAGCAGGGAACATCCCAAAGACCAGCCAGTCTGAAGTCCATCAGCTGATGGTTTCTGGGCAAGTATCAGATTGGACAAGTTGTGGAGAAATGAGATGACAGACTCAGGGAGTCTGCAGAAGTCCTGTCAAATTGGACCAGCATTACTGTATGCTATTGTGTCGGTTCTGATTCATCATGACCCTGTATAGGGCTTCCAAGCCTGTAAATCTTTACAGGAGCAGAAAGCCTCATCTTTTTCCCACTGAGCAGCTGGTGGATTCAACTTTGCAGTTAGCAGCCCAACACATACCCCAGCACTACCACGGGCTCCTTTGAGCTAGCATGTTGAGTTGGTTCCCATCCATAGTGACCCTGTATAGGATTTCCAAGAAGCGGCTAGTGAGTTTGAACCACAGACCTTATGGTTGAGTGCTTATCCTACAGCACCACACGAGGACCCCTTGGGCTAGCATTAGTTATGTGCCATGGAGTTGGTTCCAACTCATAGCGACCCTGTACAAGGTCTCTGAGGCTATACATCTTTACGGGAGCAGAAAGCCTCATCTTTCTCCCGTGGAACAGCTGGTAGTTTCGAATTGGCAGGAGGCAGGTGTTGAGGTCAAGGCAGAGCGGAATCTGCCTACAGTCTCAGCTGGAGAGGAGAAGGCGTGAGGTGATGCCAGGGACCCCAGGCCCTCCTGACCACAGGCAGGGCATGGCTCAGAGAGCTGAAGTATTTGTCACTCAGCAGAGCCAAATATGAAGCCAGGTATCCTAATGGGATTCAGGATACCCGCCCTTTTCTCTGTGGTGACCCTTCAGAGAGTGGACAAGGGGAGCTTAGCAGCTTCTGCTCTCTCCCCTTCACCTGCAGAGGAGGTGGCAGGGCCCTGGCAGGCCCTGCAGAAATGGGGTCCCAATAGCGGGTGGTCAGCCACAAGGTCCTGCACAAGGGCCCCAGCTCTGTGTGTCTCCCAGGATTTATAAGTACCAGGCCCACGGTTATGCCTTCTCTGGCGTGGAGGAACTGCTCTACTCTCTGGGGGAGTCTGCCTTCGTCAACATGACCCAGCGCTCCGTGGCTGAGTCCCTGCTCCAAGTGGGCGTCACACAGCGCTTCATCGACGATGTCGTCTCCGCCGTCCTGCGGGCCAGCTATGGCCAGTCAGCAGCAATGCCTGCTTTTGCCGGTGAGCCTCCTGCCCTTGACCTGCCCACTCTCCAGCCCTGTGGTGGTCAGGAGGGGCTGGGGTCCCTGGCATCACCTCATGCCCATCCATCTTCCAATAAGACTTGATGGCCCTAACCTTATGGGATCCTGGCATCAGTCGTCCAAGGGAAGGCCAGAGATGGTGTTTACCCCCTTCATGAAAGCGAGGCTCGCAACCCAGATCCTGAGAGTTTCTGCCACTCCTGGTTACCTGATAATCCTTCATATGTGTGTATATGTCAGATGGTACATACACTTTTTGGTTTGAAGACTAACCCCTCTGAAGCCATTGGTCCCTGGTAGCCATCCATTAGAGTACGTACTCTTCCTAGCTCCTTATTGGGGCGGGTGGGCTATGTACAATGCACCATCCTCCAGCACAGACCACACAGAGGGGTCACAGCCTAATCTCCATGGGGGAGCTGGGCCAAGTTTTCTCCCAAGAGATGGCAACTATTCTGAGCCTTGAGTGATGTGGGGGTAATTTGTTAGGGACTTCCTGGCCCCCTCTCAGCCTCCTGGCTGGTTCCTTCTCTTCTCTCAGCCTCATAACATGGGAGGCCTCGGACTCAATCCTTGGTCTCTTAGCGTCTCAACCACATGCACCCCCTTGGCAATCTCATCAAGTCACAAGACTCTAAATTCCTTCCCTCTAACAATGACTCCCAGGCCTTTTCTCTGGAACTTGAGACTCCCGAGTCAGCTGCTCCCCCTTCCTCTCACTGGGAGGCTCATTGGGTGTCTCAGATCCCGTCCATCCAAACCTAAACACCCAACCTTGCCCTTAGACCTGTTCCTCCTATAGTCTTCCCCAACTTAGTTAACAAGATCTCCTTTCCTTCCTGTTGTTTTAGCCAAAACCTTGACTCATTTCTTTCTCTCCTACCCAACCTATCAGAAATCCTGTTTGCTTTACCTTCAATATCGATCCAGAATTGACTGTTTCTCACTACTGCTTCTACCCTAAGCCACCAGCATCCCACGCCTGAAGTCCTGAAAGCGGGCTCCAGGTCTCCCTGATCCCACCCAACCTCCTCCTTACCCATTCAAACTGTTTTTCAACACATCAGTCAGATGATCCTTTTAAAACAAGATAGATCATGGCTTTCATTTTCATTCACGTAAAACCCAGCCCTTCCAGTGGCCTACAGACGTGATCTAGTCCCCATCACCTCTCCTGTTTGCTCACACCAGTCCAGCCCCTCTAGCCTCTCACTGTGCCTTAAACGTCCAAGGCGTGTTCTCCTGCAAAAAGAACCAAGTCTGTTGCTGCTAAGTTGATTCTGACTCAAGGTGGCCCTATGCACAGTGGAACAATTGTGTGATCCATAGGGTGTTCATTGGCTGGTTTTTAGAAGTACATCACCAGACCTTTGTTCCCAGTCGGTTTTTGTCTAAATACTCGATGCATCATAGCAACACGCCTACCGCCCTTGACAGGCAGGTGGCAGCTGCACATGAGGTGTGTTGACTGGGAATCGAACCCAGGTCTCCCACATGGAAGGAGAGAGTCCTGCCACGCAGCCACCAGTGCCCCCTCCCCCAGACACAGTCATAGTGAGTTTCTGGTCCTCCATCATGTCTTTGAGTGGGTGTTCTCTTTTCATCAAGGCTCCCCTGACATCCTGCTCCCAGAAGTTTCAGTCCCCCAACCCTGAACCTTTTTTCTTTTTCTTTTTTCCATAGCAGACATTGTCTTCTAGCTATTTAAATTACTTATTTTATCTCCCCACACTAGAATATAAGCATCACAAGGGCTGGGATCTTTGTCTCTTTTGTTCATTGATACATCCCAGACACTTAGAGCAGTGCCAGGACCATAGTAGGCCCTCTGTGCATTTATGTTAAATAAGTGATTGAAGAGGTTTGTGTTTAACATGCGCCTCCCACGCACCTGGGACACCATTTTTCTGGCTCCTGGCATGGTTGGCTCTGTCCCATCCTTCAGGTCCTGCCCCAGTGTCCCCTCAGCCGGGCCTCCCTGCTCGCTCTTCCAGTGTCTGATGTGTATCTGTGGTAACATTTTATTTTTTAAAATTGCTTTACTGAGATATAATTCACATACTACCCAACTCACCCATTTAAAGTGTACAAGTCAGTGATTCTTACTATATTCACAGAGTTGTGCCACCATCACCATTGTCAATTTTAGAACATTTTTATCAGCCCCCCAAATAAAAACTCCATCCCCTTTAGCCATCGCTTCCCCCTCCTCACCAAACTTGCCAGGCCTCTAGCCCAAGGCAACTACGGATCTGCTTTCTAGCCCTATGGATTTGCCTACTCTGGATATTTTCTATCAGTAGAACCATATGATGTTTGATCTTTGGTGACTGCTTCGTTTCCTTAGCACGATGCTTTCACTTCATAGCCTTTTGAATTTTATTGTATTTCTTTATATGGCTGTTGTCTCTTTCTGCCCGTGGTTGGGAGAGCCTTGCCCTGTGAGAGAGGCCCAGGTAGAATGTAGAATGGTGCTGGGCTCTCCAACCCTTCTGCACAGTGGTTCTCAGAGCCCACTCATGACCTTCCCTACTTTCCCCAGGTGCCATGTCCCTAGCAGGGGCCCAAGGCAACCTTTGGTCTGTAGAGGGAGGCAACAAGCTGGTTTGTTCCGGTTTGCTGAGGCTCACCAAGGCCAACGTGATTCAAGCCACTGTGACCTCTGTGACCCTGCATAGTTCTGGTGAGTGGACAGAGCAGGAGGCCTGGTCCTCCCTTCACCTCTACCGCCTTTCTGCCTGTAAACCTGGTTTGTGATCTCTTGGGAAAACAGGAAGTCCCAGCCCTGCTGAGTGACACCAGAGGGCACTGTTGTCCCTATTCAAATGTTAAGTGCTGTAGAGTTGGTTCTGACTCACAGTGACTTTGTATAGGGTTTCCAAGGAGTGGTTGGTGGGTTTGAACCACCAGTCTTGCAATTAAGTGTCCAGTGCGTATCCAAACTAAGATTTCATTAATTCATCCATTTAACCACTGAGAACTTGGAGCCACAGCCTTGGCCAACCTACCCCCAGCTAGTCTGTAGCAGAACTAGAATGAGAACTGGGTCTCCTGATTCCAGTTCAGTGCTCTCCCCAGCAGCCACGCCAGCATGGGGAAATCCTTTCCACCAGCATACCCTGGCATTATGCCTTCAGTGGTGGGCCCAGATGGGAGGTCAACAGATAGAAGCCAAGAAATAAATTGACTTGTGTCCTGTCTTCTCCCCTTCCAGAAGGGAAAGCCCTGTACCAGGTAGGGTATGAGAATGAAGAAGGTCACGGCTCTGATTTCTACGACATCGTGGTCATTGCCACCCCACTGCACCTGGACAACAGTAGCAGCAACCTCACCTTTAAAGGCTTTGACCCCCCAATTGATGATATCCAGGGTTCTTATCAGCCCACTGTTGTCTCCTTGGTCCATGGCTACCTCAACTCTTCCTACTTTGGCTTCCCTGACCCCAAACTTTTCCCCTTTGCCAGCATCCTTACCACGGATTTTCCCAACTTCTTCTGTGCACTGGACAACATCTGTCCTGTCAACATCTCAGCCAACTTCCGACGGAAGCAGCCTCAGGAGGCAGCTGTCTGGAGAGTGCAGTCCCCCAGCCCTCTCTTTCGGACTCAGTTAAAGACCCTCTTCCGTTCCTATTACTCAGTCCAGACTGCTGAGTGGCAGGCCCACCCCCTCTATGGCTCCCGAAGCACCCTCCCGCGGTTCGTACTTCATGAACAACTCTTCTACCTCAACGCCCTGGAGTGGGCAGCCAGCTCTGTGGAGGTGATGGCTGTAGCTGCTAAAAATGTGGCCCTGCTGGCTTACAACCGCTGGTACCAGGACCTAGACAAGATTGACCAAAAGGATTTGATGCACAAGGTGAAGACTGAACTGTGAGGACTTTAAAGAGAGCCCGGGAATGCCTATCCTATACTGAAGATGGTTCTTACCCCACAGCAGCTCAGGATTGGAACAAGCTGCCCTCGCCTGCCCTGCAGAGCTTCTTTTGGACCCATCATGTGTCGAGCATCTTCTCCAGTGGGACCAGGTGGCTGTCTGTCTGCTTGCCTACCTTAAGGAGCCTCAGTGGTTGCTTCTTTCCTTAAAGGGGGAGAATAGAGATGGGGAGAAAATCCAAGCCAGTGTATTCATTTTATTTATTTTCTTTTTTTTTTAAAAAAAAAAAAGGAATAAAAATCCGTCTTCTTAAACTGCCTCTGCCTTTGTTTTCTGCTTAGGAGGCAGGAATGTGTATGAGAGGGAATATAAGAACTATTGGCGCAGTTTCTTTACTGTTTTGCAGTTGTTAAGTGCTGTTGAGTCGGTTCCAACTCACAGCAACCCTGAATAGGGTTTTCGAGGAGGGAGCTGGTAAGTTTGAAGCACTGACCTTGCGGTCAAGTATTTATCCTACAATGCCACACCAGGACTCAGTTGTTAGTTGCCATCAAGTCGATGCCAATTCATGGTGACCCTATGTGTGCACAGTAGAGCTGCTCCACAGGATATTCAAGGCTGTGATTTTCAGAAGCAAATCACCAGGCTGGTCTTCTGAGGGAACTCTGGGTGTGACTGAACCGCCAACATTTCAGCTGTAGTCAAGCATTCAACTGTTTGCACTATCCGGTTTTTCATTTGTGTACTCCCAAAATGGATGTGAGGCAACCATTGATGAAACATTATGACCATGGAGCTGTAAGATAAGCACTGGACTGCTAACCACAAGATCGGTGATTCAAACCCACCAACCACTCCTCGGAAACCCTATATAGGGTCGCTGTGAGTTGGAACCGACAACAGCATTTAACAATGGCAGTTACAAGTGAAACAAGAGAAGGTCAGAAAATACAAGAAATGATTGTGTAATTGTTCATGTTGTGTGTCAATTTGATTAGGTTATGATTCTCGGTTTAACAGACATTCGACTGATTGCTCTTCCATAATATAATATGATAGGATCTGATGTGATCAGCCAATCAGTTATAAGATGGGCTTCCTTGGAGTCATGGCCTGCATCCAATATATATGGATGTTCTGGTGTATATATGTTTCACTGGTTTTGCTTCTGTCTGGAGAATCCAGCCTAAGACAGGTAGCTAGCATCTCCTATTGGCTGCAAGCTTGCTAGATGTGCAGCAGCTAGGTAAGAACTTATTAGACACCATCTCCAGGCCTCTCCACAACACTGCATACTGGGGAAATGACTGTGTTAGTACCCAGAAAAGGGATGGTTACCTCAGCAAAACCTTTAGTCTAACTGAGCCTGGGGGAAACATGCCAGGCCATAAAAAGAAGGAAGCTTCTTTGCACCTGAAGGAATTAGCCATCCATTCCTTGTGTAAAGGTTGAAGAAGTTATTCTCTGGATCTGTCTCCCAACTGATGGAAAGCAGTCTTACTTCCCTGAAACATTGGCCCTGAAACATTGACCCCAGGAAAGAAAAGGATGAAAAGATGGTGTTGGGATGGCATTCAGAGATTAAGCCGGTGCTTTTTTCTTTAAAGATGAGCAGTTTTAGAAAAGGAAGTAAAAACCCTCTTCATTCTTTTGGGGCCTGTACCTTTCTGTAAAAGAAGAGAATGGAATGACTCAACACGGGGCACCAGTAAGTATGGCTCGTGAGTCAACCACCACATCAGAATCTTCTGGCGGAAGGAGGGGTACGTGTTTAAATAAAGATGCAGATCCAAGTCCCACCTACTGCCACCACCACCTATTGTCAAGAAGTCGATTATGACTCATAGCCACCCTATAGTAGAACTTTCCTATAGGGTTTCCAAGGTCAGATGTTTCCAAGGAACAACTGACTCTTTGATTGGCAACTAAGCCTTCAATGACTATGCCACCAGAGCACCTTCAAACCCCACCTAGATGTGCTGGGAGGTGGGGGGAGATCAGGTACTAGGAGGAAACAACACTGCCAGATGACCCTAACCAATATTGTGGCATTACTAACAGGGACAGACCTCAGAAGGCATTCATCTGACTTCCCGCTACACATGTGGACATAAAAGCGCAAAGTCAGGAAATAACTTGTCCAAGATCTCCTGGTGAATTCAGAGAACAGAGCTCAAATCTGGAGACCCTGACTCTGCAAAATACCTTTCATGTAGGTGGAAGCTCACATCAGCCCTGAAACCACATTTACTCTGCCAAGATGGTGGTAATGGTTGCGAAAGAGATGGTGCCTCTAATGTGCGATTAGCAGGCACTTGTTAAAGTACTAGACAACCTAACTCACGTTGGCGTGGGCAATGAGAAGTTTTTGCTGGTCATCATAATTTAAAGCCCAGCTGCCAATCACTTCTCTCCTGTCAAAGATGGCTGCCAACAGCTCCCAGGGTGAGAGTCTTCCCACAACCATTGAACCACTGGACTCTGGCCCACTTGGTCCACTCTTGAACCAATTCCTGTAGCCAAGGGAGTAACATATGCTCATTGACTTAGGTCTTAGACTCTGAATCAGTCACTGGGATAAAAGGGATGAGATTAAGCAGATTGAAGTACCAAATCTCACTCCCCAGAGCTGAAGTAGTTTCATCCAAATTACAAGGTTGGAAGGGTGGAAAGGACAAGAGCCAGTGTCAACCACAGAAAGGATAAGGCTATCCCCTCCTTACTCTTCCCAAGTCCAGTGAAATCAGAGACTGTAATGTGTCCTTTGATGGTTTCAGTTTGAAAGGAAGATAGCATGGGCTCTCATGGTATAATTAATGATAATGTGGTATTGGACCAGAGGTCCAAGGACAATCTAAAATTTGCCCTATATAATTACCCCTCCCTAAAAAGGAATTGTACACAGAAGATGCAAATGATCAATTATACTTGATCCTCAGTCTCTGACTGCACTAAACCTGACTGTGTCCTTCAGATAGCTCCTCAACTTAGGTAGGCAAATCTGAACAGCTCAGAATTCAAGTCAGCCAAAATGCTCATACCACCTGCTTTCCCAAGCCCAAACTTAAAAATTGGACTTCACCATCTACCTACCTGCCCCAGGGAAAGCAGATTCCTGAGACATCAGAAGAGAGCAGGGGAGCCAGCAGGAAGCCTTTGTTATAGCATCCACCTTAGCCTTCTTAGGCCAAGACAGAAGCACTCAAGATCCCAGAGCCCCTAGGAAAAGAAAGTACATTTGCACAGGGAGAAAGAGTCTTATAACCAACCAAACAACAGGAAAAGAGCCACAGTCATCCTTGAGAGTCGTATTGTTAGCTCTCACTGAGTCAGCCCCCAAGTCATGAAGACTCTGCACAGTAGAACAAAATGCTGCCCAGACCTGATTGCCTGGGAATCAAATAGTTGTAATCCATTGGATTTTCATTGGCTGGTTTCTAGATATAGGTCACCAGGCCTTTCTCCCTAGTCTGTCTTAGTTTGGAAGCTCCACCGTTCAATTCAGCAGAATAGAAACATGCAAGCCTCTACTTACACATGGGTGGTAGATGTGCATGACATTCATTGGCCAGGAATCAACCAACGGAAGGCAAGGATTCTGCCACTGAGCCACCAATGGCACTTTTCCCAGTCCTAATATAGTGCCTTAGACCTTAAGCCCTCACGGACATACTATCCTTAGCACAGATAATCCAAGCAAAATTGTAGGGTGGATGTGGGTTGTTAGTTGCTGTCTAGTCAATTCTGACTCGTGGCGACCCCATGTGTAACAGAGTAGAACTGTGCTCCATCAAGTTTTCTTGCCTGTAATTGTCACAGAAGCGCATCACTAGACCTGTCTGTCCTGGGTATTGTTGAATAAATTCAAACCACAAACTTTATGTTAGCATTTAAAGTGCAAAACTTTCACACCACCTAGGAAGAAGGAGAGACAAACTACTTCCTAATATTTATACACTGAAAACCTTATGAATGGCAGTGGAACACTGTCAGCACCAGAAGACTGAATATTGAAACAAGATGAAGAGCACCAAAATATTGTCAGATATAGTGCCAGAAGATAAGCCCTTCAGGTTGGAAGGCACTCAAAATGAAACTGTGCAAGAGCTGTCTCCTCAAAGCAGAGTTGACTATGATGATGCAAATGGAAGCGATTCATATATGTGCACATTCCAAAGAGAGGTGACCCAGTGGAATGCAGAAATCATGGGACAATATCATTAATATCCCATGCAAGCCAAATGTTGCTTAAGATAATACAAAAATGGCTATAACCATACATTGACAGAGAACTTCCAGAGACACAAACCAGATTTAGAAGAGGACATGGAACGAGTGATATCATTGCTGACGTCGGATGAATCTTGGCTGAAAGCAGAGAATGCCAGAAAGATGTTTACCTGTGCTTTATTGACTACACAAAGGCTTTCAATTGTGTGGATCATGACAAGCTATGGAAAATATTGGAGAGAATGAATATTCCGAACCACTTAATTGTGCTCATGAGGAACCTGTCCACGGACTAAAAGACAATTGTTTGAACAGAACAAGGTAACACTGAATGGTTCAAAATTAGGAAAGGTGTGTGCCAGGGTTATATTCTTTCACCATACTTATTCAGTCTGTATGCCGAGCAAATAATCCCAGAAGCTGGATTATATGAAGAAAAATGTGGCATCAGGATACAAGGAAAACTCATTAACAAGCTGCTATATGCACATCATACAACCTTGCTTGTCGAACTGAAGAGGGCTTACAGTACTTACTGATGAAGATCAAAGACCACACCCTTCGATATGGGTTGCACCTCAATGTAAAGAAAACAAAAATGCTCACCACTGGACCAATAAATAACATCACGATAAATGGAGAAAAGATTGAAGCTGTCAGAGAGTTCATTTTGCTTGTATCAACCATCAACACTCACGGAAACAGCAGTCTAGAATTCAAACGGCATATTGCATTAGGCAAATCTGTTGTACAAGACCTCTCCAAAAAAA